AAGAGAAGAGAAGAGAAGAGAAGAGAAGAGAAGAGAAGAGAAGAGAACCTTTATTGTCATTTTTTACTGTGGGCATACTGGCACCCATTAAAAATGAAATATAACAACTTTCCATTATATCCCACTTTCCATTAACAAAGAATCCTCCCAATATCTAACAAATATTACTTGCTGGTGATGAAAGCAATAAAACTAGGATTGGCAAGAGGGGGCTTTCTTATTTTATTCTTCTGAGGCAGGAAGTAAAAGCAGAAGTAGGGTGTCAGAGGCAAAATCAAGAATTGGCAAGAGAATATTACTGCTAGTTTATGCAACAATAGGCTTCCGTGTCTTTGGCTTTGATCTTTGAATTACATCCAGGCCAAGCAAGAGATGGAGGGGGGAAAAAACCATCTTCCTCCTCTCCTGTCATATTGTACTAACTACAAACAAAAACTAGACAACCTATGATCCATTGGGCCATAATTTCAGATATATTTCCTTACCTAAAACCAATAAACAGAATTGCCATAGGTGGGACAAAAAAAAGTAATGGGAATCAGACTTCCTGCTTCCCCACTGATGTTGCTTGTTAATAATTTTTATTAAACTAATACATGCTTTTTCTTCTTTTTATTTATTCTGTTATCTCCACAGGTAATTAAGTGGTCATCTTGCAGATAAAATTTAACATTTTAAAGGGATGCATGATGTGATGTTCTATGTACCATATTGATGATCCTGAATGCAAAAAAGACATACCACTTCAATCATGTAAAACCTTAATTCTCAATAGGAATGTCAAAATGAAATTTTGTTATTGTTCAATGGAGTAAATATCAAAGAAAATGTGATTTACTTGACTGAGGTTGTTGGAGGTTTTTTCTGTGACTTTTCTCAAACTTTCTGTCATAGGAGTTATGTGTCATGCCACTTACTATTATGAAAAAAAGAAAGACTAGCAAAGCCTCAAGCTGTACAGATTCTTACAACCCATTTAGACATAGTGGTTATACTTTTTTTTTTTGGACAAAACATCATTGTCCTGACATGCACACTAAGAATCAAGGTCATGTTTGCTCTAAAGAATTTGTATTTTCTCAATTTGTATTATTTAAAGTGCAGCACATAAAATAATAGGCAGCTTAATTGAATTTTTAATCCAACCTTACACGCATCACTAAACAATAGCCAAAAAAATTGCACACATATAACACAACTGATTTTTTTTTAACATCTGTGGCTCAGCCATCTCTCCCCTTCCCCCAAATCACAGAAACTACATAAATTGAACATATAATCATAGGCATGAGAGCTTGTTTCTCTGATATTTGGAACAATAGATACAAATAACCTTGTATTCAGCTACAGATACAAGTTAATTTCACTCATCCATATTTCACTCATTAATTTCACTAATGCCCTTTCTCAGATAACTAGACGAATTTTCATTGGTCATGGTGACCCCAAACTTATACAAACACTGCATAGAAGAAGCTAGCTATTTTTTCCCCAGATCCAATTTTCAGTAGAGCTTCAGAGGGTACAAAACATGAGTTTACTTTGACATGGTTTTTAGCCAGCCTCTGAGATTGGATTATGAAGTTTAGGTGGTATTATAACCATAAACTATGAACAAAATCTTGTTTGCATTTCTTCACCAGTCATTTAATTTTTTTCTGAGGGGGGAATGTCTCCTTTAATATGAAGAGAAGGAAAGCAAATACAAGAATTTGATATTTTGATTAATATAATAATATACTTACCTTTCTTTTTCTCAGCAATGGGAAGCTTTGCATCATTTGATTTTGCTGCCTCTGAAAAATATAATTTTCTTAGCTTGCAAAGTGCAAATTTAAGCATATCTTTCATTGCGTTAAGTACAAATGCGTCACTCCCCATTTTAAAAGATATAATCACAATATTTTTGCACTAGTAACAAGGGTTAGCATGTGTGCTGAATCAGGAATTAAACAAACCAGAAAGTTAAGATGAATAAAGCAATATAATATTATGAATGTTTTTCATTATAGACTTACTGGAAGATTATTATTATCAAAGTTCATAGCTTTGCAGATATTTAGCATTAAAAAAGCTGGATGCTCTCTTTATCATAAAATCACAGTTCATTGCAACTGTTAGAAGTATAATTCAGCCTATTTAAAAAGATTCCATGATTTTACTGCTATGCTTTTGAATTGTGAAAATGAAATCCAGTATCTATGTACTACTAAAACACTTGTTTATATAGCCGTTAACTGGCAAAATAGTACATCATAGGGCAATAGTTTTTGAACAAAGGTACCTGAAATGAGCAAACATACAAAATGTGTCCAAAATCCAGGACTCATGATTCCCCAAGGAATAAAATTTGGAAAAGTTATGTCTGCTTCAGCTGCCAGGAAAGGAAGGAAGAGTTCTAATGCTCCCTGGCAGCTTCCCACAAGGAAACTCTGACAGGAAATTGAAAGTTGCTCCTGCTCCCACTGCTTTTTGGCTTACCGGTGGTCATTCTGTTCCTCTGTTCAGATTTTTAAAAAAACCTCTGAAACGATAATCCATTGGGGCAAGGATTGTCTAATATATATATATATATACAGAAGCCTGATGATGGCAGATGAGATTCTGCTGAAATGTCACTACTACTTTAAAAGCACAGCTACTATGACGTGGGAAAATACCCGAGCAAAGCCGAATGCCATACATGTAAGTACCTGCGAAAACTTAAGAAAACAAATATATATATGTATATATATATATGTATATAGATGTGGTAGGTGACTGGGACTGAAAATCAATGGTGCATATGGGTAGATACTCCATCATGATTTCTATCTTGTTATATATTGTGCCATCCCACAATTGTCTTCAGTGTTATTGACCTTACAACACTAAGAATAAGAAAGGAGGAGGAAGATAGAAGAAAATGTTACAGTAGTTCTAGGGGAAATGGGAGGCACTTAATTAAAAAAGAAAAGAAAGAAAGAAAGAAAGAAAGAAAGAAAGAAAGAAAGAAAGAAAGAAAGAAAGAAAGAAAGAAAGAAGGAAGGAAGGAAGGAAGGAAGGAAGGAAGGAAGGAAGGAAGGAAATTTCACCTTCTCTGACTTCACTTGAGCCAATGAAGGGAAAATTTCCTTCATCAGCTCAGTTCTCCTGGCATTGAGCCAGGATATTACACGAGTTTTGTTTTGTAATGGATTGTGGTTAGGCTTGAGTACCCTTCAATGTTACTGCCTTTTTATTTTTACTTGGTTTCTTTTTGTTTCTTGGTTTTACTTTTGTTACTTTTTGTTTTACTTGGTTTCTTTTTTGTTTTAATTCTAAGTTAGCCAAGCAGAATCACAATTTGCAAGGTGCGTGGCCATATAAATAGATTAATCAATTTATCAAACATGTAAAATATGGAACTGCTAATTAGATATTGATCAGAGAGCAATTAAGAGAGTAATGCAAACGTTCTCACCAAAGCCACCCCAAATACCCTATTTTTCCAGCTGAAAACCTGCTTCAGACCTACTACTACTGAAGCAAGGTTGAAAGTAAATCAACCAAGCTACCAATAGAAATCATAAGAAGATGGGTTTGGAGCATGGGTGGTATTCAGCAGATTCTGACCAGTTCTGGAGAACCGGTAGCAGAAATTTTGAGTACTTGGGAGGACCAGCAAATACCACCTCTGACTGGAGATTTTACAGTATCCTTCCCCTGCCACTCCCACCAAGCCATGCCCACAGAACTGGTAGTAAAAAAATTAGAATCCCACCACTTTGGAGGTGTTCAGAAACTGCTCAGAGTGCTACAAACCCAGTATGTGGAAGAGCATTAGATGAAAGTGAGCTAAAGTTAACACCAAAAAAGAGAATAATGGTAAATTAAGGACCTTCTTTCGTTCACTGGCAACACTGAGCTCCATTATATGTAATGTTCCTCATATAACTATCTTAAATCAATTTAGCATCAACAAAAACATTCTGAAATCCTAAAATGGCCCTAGTTTTTTAAAAAAAGATCTTAGAAATAATATTTACCTTTTCCTTTGACAGCAATAGGAGGCTTCACTTTTTCTTTTGAGATATCTATGGAAATATTCATTAATTCATTTGTTTTGTTTTGCATTTTTTCTTTTTTAAAAAAACCCACATTTCTGGGTGCTTTTAAACCTTCATTTGATGTAATAAGACTATATACAGCTAGATCAAAAATAAAACCAATCATTATTATTTCCTTCCACAATTTTTACCACTTTCTTTGTTAATTCTATGGGCTCAAAGAGAATTTCTTCACCATTTTTGCAGTCTGAAAATAAACTTTAAAAGTCTTAAAACTTTAAAAATATATGTCTTTACCCTTTTTCTTCTGGGTTTCCATGGTCTTCATTGATTTTTCTTTCTCAGGCTCTGTGTAAAAGCACAGTGAGCAAACATTACTCACATCTAGCAATTAATAATCCCAAACTGAAGCTGCATCAAAATAACATGTAGTTTTGTAGCTGAATTTTGAGTTGGATATACTGCAAATTCTTTTCATGCTAGCAGTAGTAAGTATCAATACCATGTTTCTTACAAAATAAGTCCAGGCCTTATTTTTTTTTTGACCCCCGAAAAAACAGCTAGGCCATCTTTTCAGGGGTGACTTAATTTCCTCCCCCACCTAGAGTGGCCCATACGCACGTACCTCACCGCGAGGCTGCTTCTATTGGCTGACGAAAGCTCCCCGAAGGCAGAGTCCCCAGCCGCGTTAGGGCATGGCATGGCTGCCCGTGTCCCCTCGCCTTTAGGCAGACTCTTTCAGGTGATGGAAGCTCCCCAAGTGCTGTCACCAGTCACTTCGATCGGCTGGTAGAAGCAGCCTCGGGGCGAGCGCACACACACACTCCCCTCACCGCGAGACCACTTCTATCAACCAACAAAAGCTCCCCAAAGGCAGAGTCCCCAGCCACATCAGGGCGTGGCGTGGCTGCCCGTGGCCCCTCACCTTTAGGCAGTCTCTTTCAGGCGATGGAAGCTCCCCAAGTGCAGTCACCAGCCACTTTGATCGGCCAGTAAAAGCGGCCTCGCGGCAAGGGGAGTGTGTGTGTGCACTTGCCCCAAGGCTGCTTCTACCGGCCAATAGAAGTGGCTAGTGACTCCACTTGGGGAGCTTCCATCGCATGAAAGAGACTGCCTAAAGGTGAGGGGACACGGGCAGCCATGCCACGCCCTGAAGTGGCTGGGGACTCTGCCTTCAAGGGAGCTTTTGTCAGCTGATAGAAGCAGCCTCGCGGTGAGGGGAGTGTGTGTGTGTGCTTTCCCCGAGGCCACTTCTACCGGCCGATTGAAGTGGCTGGTGATTGCATTTGGGGAGCTTCCATCGCCTGAAAGAGACTGCCTAAAGGTGAGGGGACATGGGCAGCCATGCCATGCCCTGAAGCGTTTGGGGACTCTGCCTTCAGGGAGCTTCTATCAGCTGATGTTCTATTGGTAGATCGGGGTATTCTAGCCTAGGCGACCTGCAGGGCACTCCTAAAGGCAAGTTTTCTCCCCCCCCCGCCCTTCCCCCCATTTCTCTTCACCTCATGTAGTTCTAACGAACAATGCGAGAAATGGCGGGGAAACGCATGGTTTAAATAGGCCTAAATTTTGTGGGGTGGGGCTTAATTTCACCTCGTGCCTAGAAATCATGCTGGACCTTCCTATTGGTACAGGCCGTATTGTTGGAGAAACACGGTAGTTAAAATCATGAGTGGAATCGAACTTTTTTCAAGCAGGGATTGGAAAAGAACTGCACTTATTCGACTCTTTTCATGATCACAGCACATTTCCTTTGACTGAAATGTATTCCGTTCATAAAGAACATTAGATGCTTCTGCATGTAAGCATCAAATTAATCCCAACCTTATAGCTTGATTATCTAAAGATTTTTGCTACTATACAAACAACAGGTGACCAATCAGGCTGAATGTCAATAATGGATGGTGTTGCCTTTTGACCTTTCAGATTCCAGAATTAGTAATGCTTTGACAGAAGTACAGGGGGCAGAAATAGATGGACAGAAATAAATGGGGAATGATGTCTTGAAAGTCTCCCGGTCATTTCAGATCTTCTTGTATCTCACTCAACTGGAATGAAAGAAGATTGTAGCTTGCAGCAATCCTAATTGCATTCAATTATAATTTTCCTGACTGGATGTGGCATTTTAAATGCAAGACTTTTAAAAGTCACGGAAAAGTATAACACCAAGCAATGAGTTGTGGAACCTATTTGCTAAGACAAGTCTCTGTGGGTACTAGATACTCAAATAATTTCCTACTTGCCTGACAATGTCTTGATATATGAATATACAAGGATGGTTATACTTTGTCAGATCATAAATTCTTTTACTTAATTAGAAGCTGCATGTTTCATACTAGCTTCCAGTTGCTTTATTTAAGATTTCATTTATTTAACAGCAATTATAATCTATTCCTACTCTAAAAGAATTCTGGGTGGGTAATAACAACATACAAATCAGATTAAAATATAAGGAACAATCTCAAACCACAAAACAACAATATACATGATTGCTGTTGCCAAAAATTGTTGTAATACCAAGGAGGATTTGTCCTCTCTTTCTTTCTTGTGTAAAATAGCTTCCCTTTTGTCATTCCTGTGCATGGCATAGCAAAGTAAAAATTTAGATTTCGAAAAGTAAGTTCACTTTCACTTTCTCTACCAGTTTGCTCCTCATAATCCTCATGCAGGTAAGCTCAAGAGTTAATTTTTTTAAATCTCAAAACTACTTTGCCAAGGCCAGCCATTGAGTAGCAAGAATGTGATGAGTGAACTGACATTGATAACTTTTAGGCAAGAAAAGATAAACAGCTATTGTGGTTTATTAGAAGTATGAACTGCAAGAGGTATAAGGTAGCTAGATATAAGCTACCTTGAGAGGAGCTTTATTATACGCCTGTTCAGGAACACTGTTATCATCAGCTGGGACCATGATCACCTTTGTGAAGGATAAGGGGCTTCCAAATGCCAAGGGGATGTGAAATTCTATTTATATTCCTCTATAGGTAGTCCTTGACTTATGACTGTAATTGAGCCTAGAATTATGGTTGTAATTCACTGAGACTGTAAGTTAAGGAATTACGTGACCATATTTTTTGCAGCATTCGATACGTGAACGCCAGTGGTGGGATTCAAATTTTTTATTACTGGTTCTGTGGGCATGGCTTGGTGGGCATGGTAGGAGTGGGATACTGTAAAATCTCCAGTCAGAGGTGATACTTGCTGGTTCTCTGAACTACTCAAAATTTCCACTACCGGTTCTCCAGAACTGGTCCGAACCTGCTTAATACCACCTCTGGTGAACACCATAGTCATTGAAAAAAATCCATTTTCCCCAATGGGCACTTTTTGGCAGAAACTGAAAATAAGTGCCAGAAACTGAAAATAAGTGCCAGAAACCAGGGGGAAAAAACATTACAAATCATGATTAGATGACCATAGGACACTGCAAATGGCTGTAGAGGGGAGAGGATTACCAATGCCCAAAATGAAATCACGTGACTGTGACATGTGCATGCAGAGCCACTGTAACTTCAAATCACATTATAAATAGCTCTGGAGGGGTCTAGCACAGGGGTCTCCAACCTTGGCAGCTTTAAGACTTGTGGACTTCAACTCTCTCTGGGAGTTGAAGTCCACAAGTCTTAAAGTTGCCAAGTTTGGAGACCCCTGGTCTAGCATAACTTTGAACAGTCATTAAGCAACCAGTTATACTTCAAGAACTACCTGTATTGAATGTTGCAGAATCTCCTTTCATTGTCCCACCTGTAAATGTGTCCCATCTATGTTATAGTTTGCAGTTGAAATAATTATTTTGCTTTGCTTTCTTCAGTGAATCTGTTTCACTTCACTTTCACATTGTGCGCATGCTGCATACAAATCCCAAAATCTCTTGCCAGCATTTTACTACAGCGAAACAATAGATTGCAGGTAGTCCTTGACTTATGCCCACAATTGAGCCCAAACTTTGTGTAGCTAAGCAAGACATTTGTTAAGTGAGTTTTTTCCCCATTTTATTACTTTTCTTGCCACCTTTGTTAAGTGAATCGTTGCCGTTGCTAAGTTAGTAACACAGTTGGTAAGTGAATGTGGCTTTCCCATTGTCTTGTTAGATGGTCATAAAAGGGGATCAGCTGACCCTAGGACAACAGTAACTGTCATAAGTATGAGTCAGCTGCCAAGCATCTTGACTTTTGATCACATGACCATGGGGGTGATGCTATGGTCCTAAGTGTGAAAAACAGTCATAAGTCACTTTTTTTCACTGCTGTTGTCACTTTGAACTGTTTGAACTTTGAACTAAATGAACTCTTGTAAGTCCATTTGTACTTGTACTCATTTTGTAATGTAATTTATTATGTTTGTAGTTTCCTTTTTATGCCAACAATCATCTTCTCAATGCCACACACGATATTAGGGCCTAAAATAACACTTTCCCTTATCATCCTGGCAATAGTATGAAGAGTCCCATCAGCCAAATCCTATTCATGTTTACCCACACAGGGAGCCCCGTTGCATTCTTAGATGCTGACTTCCGGTTAAGGCTGGAATTCTGACAAAACTGATTGCCAAGTAAGCTTTATCGTACTTAATGGATCTGACACATTTACAATGCATAGGAAAGCAAGATGCATACATTGCAAAATAAAGCCTTTGACAATACCCAGCCAGATGCCACACAATTGTTCCCTATCGACTTAATATTTAAATGAGAAAGAAAAGGAGAAGATTGGGTATTTAATGGATATGTATAAATGATTTTATCCTTTGTCGTTATGAACCCCTGAAGGCATTTCAGTCTCATTTCACATATGCTTATTTTCCTGCTGTCTGCATTCATGTAATATTCAATATTAACCTTGCAGTTAAATATTTCAAGACTAGACACATATTTATTCCAGTTTAATTGTTTGTATATACCGTGTTTCTCATATAATAAGGCTGGGTCTTATTTTTTTTTGAGCCCCGAAAAAATGGCTAGGCCGTCTTTTCGGGGATGACTTAATTCCCCCCCCTTGCATCTTCGGGTGGGTGGCGACGGCTTGGATGTTGACCTCGGTGTTGGGGGGCACTTCATATCAGGGTCAACGCAGGCAGCACCATATCTGGGTGTGCAACAAAAGTACTTCCTAATGGCAAGCCCCCCCACCATTCCCCCCATTTCACATGTTTTAATATAGGCCTTAATTTGGGGGGAGGGGCTTAATTTCATTTCATGCCTATAAAACATGCTGGGACTTCCTATTGGGGGAGGCCATATTGTTGGAGAAACAGAGTAATCAAAATCAGGAAGAACTTGGCAGTTTTATCATACTTATATTTTAATTTCAAGTTTGCTTTCAGCTGCTTATTTATAGTCTTCCCTTTTTAAAGGTGCATCATAATTTGTTTCTTTTTCTTTCATGTGTTCTACAAAATGCATACCAGGGTTGTGTTAATTTTCATGCACGTACAAATTACAAATGGTTGAAAATTTGTGTAAGCATATATTATATTATAATTTCGCTGTTTTATTTTGCAAATATACAATTATATTAAGTTGTGGAACCATTTTGAGAAGGTATATCCCTTGAAAGAAGTATACAAATATTTTAAATTCTGGTTTTACATGATAATAGTCTAAGAGTTAATTGCTTGTGATGAATATTGCAAGATGGAAAGGAGAAGGATAATACAACACAGGTGTTTACAATACAGAAAATTGTTGCAACATTATTTGCAGCTCATCCATGTGTGAATTCATAAGGCTACATGGAAAACTCCTTTATAAGACTTATATTTTCCAAAAGCTCCAATGTTCTCTGTTTTTTGGATATGATATTTGCTTTGTATTCAGTATTATAATTAATATTACTACATGCTGAATGCTATAGAATAGTTGGAAGTAATAATAATATTTTGTACTGTTATTTATGCATTTCCAAAATTTAAGCGTATATGTGATCATATTTTTATAACTGAAATGGAAAAATTTCTTTTTAATCCAGAAAATGAAAAGTACAGCACCACTAATATAAAATAAATACTTACAAATAATGAATATATCAACACATTAATAAATCTGTGACCAGGACTAATATTTTCTGCTGTACAAAGAATTATGCAGTCACTGCTAGGCTGTGGAAATTATAACTGAGCTCAAAATAATAGAACAGTAAAATTCAATAATATTGACATTGTGCAATCTAAAATATGATTAATTGTGCCCACACCTATCATTTCTACTTTTTTTAATGTCCACTTAAGAAGCATAGTGGATTATTTTTTTAAAAAAAATGAATTACTTTTACTCTTAATGAAGACTTGAAATGATCTTGTAATACTTTAAAATAATGAAAACAAAAAGAAATATTATTCATCGAAAAGCTGTCAGGTAATTTATCATATCCACAAAAGATATACATACTGTGACACACTTTACTTGATTCTTTAGAGTCTGATTTATCTGCAGAAGAAGAAATGAGAAAAATAATAAATCCCTTATTTCCTCATATAGTAGCTAAGACTATATGATTAATAGGAAACTGTATGAAGAAATGCATTTATTGGAATCAAGGGGTAAAATTCATCAGATTAAAAGTCTATTTGCACATGCAAAAAAAAAAAAAAAAAAGGTCCAGAGTGGCATCTCACTCACAAATAGCAAAAATCCATGGAGATTTCTTTCTTAGCCAACTTTTGAAAAGGCTTCCGAATCAGTGGAACTCATAACAAAACAGCAATTTTCGACTTATTTCATTACATTGAAAAGATGAATGAAGTGCCTGATCGCTTCTTAACATTATCCAAGGACGCATCCCTTGAAATGGAAAGCACCAAAATCTCCTATTCTCCTATTATTTTGTTTCTATTATTAATGCTTCAGAAAACCAACTTCAAAATGAGCTTTTGATTAAAAGCTTTCACTGAGCTTTTGATTAAAGAAGAACCAATTACAAGATGTTTTTGAAACTATGAGTTTAGGCTTGAGGATACTACTCATGTTTCCCAAGAATGCTTGTTGACCAAAGATAGAGGGAAGAAGACCAGGGAGAGATGAAATTGTCAAAAATGTGCATTTTCCCATCTTAATTTAAATACCTTTGTGTAATTATTTACACTTTAAATTAGGTCAGAATGAATTTTGGTATGCATATTCTTTGCTTTTCCCCTAACATACATATTCTAGTAAACATTTTTCTCTAATATTCACATCTTAAATCCATGTTTCTCAACCTTGGCAGCTTTGAGATGTGTGCATTTCCCCAGTCAACATGCTGGGAGTTGAAGTCTGAACATCTAAAAGTTGTCAAGCTTGAGAAACACTGCCTTAAGTACTTAGAAGTTTAAAAAATCAATCATTTCTAAGTGTTCAGCTTAAACATCTAAAGAGTCAGCTGATTTTGGACATAGGCACAGATATGTTTGCCTACATGTTTATGTGTGAAGCTATTGGTGTAGTCACTAAAGCCACTTTCGAAAGAGATACTATAATATCACATTATTCTTCTATATTTAAAATCTAATATCTTCTGGATGATAGCAAAAGAACTTTAATGATGCCTTCTAAGCTTGTCATTATCATTCCATTAAATATTTGAAATGATGCCTTTTTAAAGGTAAGGGAAATATTGTGCAAATTATAATCATGTCATGAATAACTACATCAAAGATGTTGAAATTCTTATTTTTAACTCTCTCATATGTTTATGTCTCTGTGTTTTTTAGTTTGCATTATTTGGAATAAATATTTATACAGAGTTAACTTTAATATTAACTTTATATATTTCTATAAAATCCAATCAAATTTATTATAGGCCCAAGGCCAGATAGAAACAAAATATCTCATAATAGAAGCATTACATCTTTCCATATATCAGTATAACAGAAAAAATAAGTATAACAGAATCAAAAAATAATGAAGAATTGGGAAAATAGAAGAATTATTTTTTAGCTCCTGTCCAACAAAAATTAAAGAGAAATCACATGAAATTTCTTCAAGGTAAGATATAAGCTAGAGTCTTTATACAGGGAACAATATAGTGTCATATGGTTTAGAGCTTTTATTGCTTCATCTCTACATGAACATATCTGAAGATACATAGGAGCGCTCTTAAAACGTTCAAAAAGCACTGCTGGGATCTAATCAATTGAAATTTTGAAACTGGAATAGGTAATTAAATAGGAGTCTGGAATAAATCTTTCTGGAAGCAAATGATAAATATTAGGGTGTGACATCTTACTTAAATTTGTTTGGAGATTTATATCCCAACATTCATTGCTTAAGGATATTTGTAGCATTATCAAAACCTAAGGAGCACAGATTTTCCATAGAAAAGCCCAGCAACTGAATTTTACCTAGGACTTTTTAAAGGAATGAATTTTAATTGGTAATTAAGTATTAATGGGGACAAAACTATAGGGTGCAAAATTAACTATATCCAGAAGGAAAAAGAAGCATGTTCCAGCATCCAGAGAAACAATGCCTGATGTTGAAAATTATTTAAGCTATTTAAATCCTCATTTTATATACATCTTCACTTTATGTAGTGTTTTCCTTTATATTAATTCTATAACTTTTTCCACATTAAAACTGTATGCAGATTTGGTCATTTAAATGGAAACATGCTGAAGTCCACTTTCTATACCTACCTTTGCCCCATGGTACAGGTAGTCCTTGACTTATGAGCACAGCTGGAATCAGAATTTCCATGGGTAAGCAAAGTGATTATTAAGTGAGTCCAATATTTGACCTTCTTTGCCATGGTTGTTAAGCAAACCATGTGTTTATTAAGCAAATCTGGCCTCCCCCATTAACTTGAGTTGTTGGAAGGCATCTGGACAAACTGTAACTTCGAATGGCCATTAAATGAATGGTTCGAAGTCAAGGACTACCAGTATACAATGCAACTTCTTTAAAGATCCATGTAGAGGGTCAGATATTGTTAAAACATAAAAGAATAATGCCTATGCCATAAAGTGTTCATCTCCCCTTAAAGCCTTTATACCACAAATCAAGTTGGTCAAAAGAATTTAGGCCACAAAAGATGACATGTCTAGATAAACGGTTACATTTTGTCTTTGCACTTGGATACATACAAACTGATTTCTGTCAGAATGATGCTTCCCAGACAGATTAAAAAGACTATTCACCAAGATCGTTAAAAGAAACAAATTCAAGGTTCTCAGTTTTTTGAAATATGAAATGTGCATTTTTAAAAACAGCTCTGACACTTGCTTTAGATATTATCAGCTTCGCCGAGTTTCTTTCTTTTTTTTTACCTTGTTCCGCTGCCTTGCTAGGGCTTTCTTCTTTCTTTTCTTGTAAAGCTGCAAAACGAAGATAAGGGACACTGTAACACAGCTAGTCTCAAAGAGAAGATGGCTCGTGCAAACAAATGCCTTTTGGAAAAAAACATTAAATCTCTATTGCTTATTTGAAGTAACATTTTTGCATATTGATTAGATCATAACAGATAATTTAAAATTATGTGATAACATTACATTTGTGTCTTCCAAGAAATCTGTATCTAGATTACAAATCTGGTAGAATTGCACAGAGATAAACAACATGAAACAGGTAGTCCTCAATTCATGACCAGAATTGAGCCCAGAATTATGGTCATAAATCATGCTGATTTTTAAGTAGGTCATCAGGTGGCCATGATCAATTTTATAATCTTTTTGTTTTTTGTGGCAGTCCTTAAGCAAATCCATTGTCTGCAATGACTGGTTGTTTGTTTGGTTTTTTTGCTGGAAACTGAAATAAAGGGCAGTTTCCAGCAAAAAAAAAAAAAGAATTGTAAATCATAGCCATGTCACTGCCAAATGCTGCAAATAGCCATAAATATGGGCTGGTTGCAGAGTACTCAAAATGTAATCACAAGACTGCGGGGGCCCCAGCTGCCAGAGCTTAGAATCTGTGTTGCAAGTAGCCCTATAATTAAAATAATATAAAATCCTACAGTATGTGGATCAATCTGAATGCATTTACCTGGATGTCTTCCCTAGTTAGTTAGTGGGAGTTAGTGAGAGAAGAGCATTGTGCATCAATAGGCGTAAGGTGTATAGATTGAGAGGTTATCTTCCTTGAAATGGCTGTGAGATGTAACCTAGAAGCTATACATTTGGCTTGTTACCTGAATCCTAAACTACTCACTGTTTCACCTATTGATTGTTAAGCACTGTGTCTGATTTAATGATATTGTAAGCTGAAGTTACATGTTAAAGATAATCAAATAATCAAAGATAAGCAATAATTCCCCTTGCAGCATGGTAAAGGAGAAGAATATGCAGCTCCTGAAGAAAGCTTCTGTAGATTTAGGATACAGTCTACCTCAGTACTTGACTACTTCAAAACTTATCAAATTTTGTATTCAACACATTTTGAAGCAGAAATCTTGTCCCGGGACTTGTCTTTCTCTCAGTAGTTTGTTTGTTTGTTTGTTTGGTTGGTTTGTCAATTGCTTAAAAGATAATAGGTATAAGTAAAAACATAGTTATGAATACATGGATACATATAAGAAAAATAAAAGGACAGGGATGGTAGGCACATTGGTGTACTTATGCATGTCCCCTACAGACCTCTTAGGAAAGGGGTGAGGTCAATAGTAGACAGTCTAAGGTTAAATTTTGGGGGGTTTGGGGAAGAAACCAGAGAGTCAGGCAGAGTATTCCAGACATTGACCACTCTGTTGCTGAAGTCGTATTTCTTGCAATCAAGCTGAAGTATTCATTGACAGGTAGGAGATTACAATGTATGATTTTATATACTATACTTAGATCGGACCGAAGGCGGCATAGTTCTAGTTTTCTAGGTCTAGAATTTCAAGTTTAGTGGCATAAGGTATTCTGCAACGAGTAGAGGAGAACTCTTCTTGTGAAATATTTCTGGATTTTCTCAACTGTGTTAATATCAGATACATAATGTGGGTTCCAGACTGATGAGCTGTATTCGAGTATTGGTCTAGCAAATGTTTTGTATGCTCTTGTTAGTAGTATAATATTACCAGAGAAAAAGCTACGTAAGATTAGGTTAACAATTCTTAATGCCTTTTTGGCTATGTAGTTACAGTGGGCTCTAGCACTTAGATCATTTGAGATGAGTACTCCAAGGTTCTTGACAGAGTTTGGATCATCAACAAGGTCTTGACTATTCAGCCTGTATTTTATTTTCTGATTTTTTTTTGCTAATATGTAGGACAGAGCATTTATTTGTTGAGATTTGAAGTTGCCATTTGTTTGACCATTCTGATACATAGTCAAGGTCTTTTTGAAGGGTAGCAGTATTGTCTTTGGTGTTGATGTGCAAGACTGCTTGCCTTGTGACTCACTGTTTTGTCCGGCCAAAATAGCGGGTCACGTGGTAAGTCACCTGGGTTTCTCAGTATTCATCAATTTTAGTATTTATCATGTCTTCTGGAATGAATTATTGATGGATACCAAGATACTACTGTGTAAGATAATGAAGCACAGACTGAACAGAAGACAAATCATGTTGTTTAAGGCACTAGACTAGAAACCAGGAGACTGTGACTTCTCATCCCACCTTAATCATGAAAGCCAGCTGGAGTGACCAATCACCCTCTCACAGCTCAAATCCCCTCACAGAGTTGTTGAGGAGAAGGCATATTATATATGTTCATTCCCTTGATTTATTTATAAAAATAATAAAGCTAGAATGTAAATAAATAAATAATTAAGTACTGGTATGCTTTTAATTCCAAAGTCTTGATAGATCTAAGTCATAGACTTTTTTTTCAAAAAAAAAAAAAAAAGGAACCACAAATTATGTTAAGTTATTATTTACATAAAAATAAAACTCATTTTAAAATAGGAGTCACCTATGTGTGAGTTGGGCACCTACATGAATTTATTTTTAACAAGTATATAAATAAATAATGCTTAATAAATAAAAAAGAAAGCTTCTCATACTTTGAGTTAATGTGGAATAGATCTGAGAAATCTGGAACTATAATACGATCCTAAATTATTTAGAGAAGGAATTCAACTACAAAATGTTAGTTTTAATACAAGTGATAGTTCAAGAGTGAAAACACTTTTAACAAAAAAGCAGTAATGACTAAGTGTTACGGTACAAAAGAGAAGTGTATGATCTCACGAGACACTACTAAACCCAGCTCTCAGAATTATTGAACTGAATTAAGGTCTCTACAATCCTTCTCTGAAAATTGGCTAGGGATCAGACTGCACAGCATTCTCTATATAAGTATATACATTTTAAAAAGGAAGTAACATTCCTGACCTTTTGGCTTGTGGGTTCCTCCAACAGCTGCAAATACAGTAAGAAAATATTCTGAACACTATATAGAATCTCAACATTCTTAAAATACACATTTATTTGTATACATTACCACGGATATCCCAAGTGGTAGCTACCCAATCTAAAAACACCATAAAAGCTTTAAAAGCCTAGGAAATAATAAAATCCTCATGAGAAATCCAATATGTAGCCATGTAGAATGAAGCAATATTTTCAACTCTTTTTTTAAAAGCAATTAGGGATGAATCTGGCAGGAGAGGAGAAACTTTTGAATCAGTAAAGGTGGTGTAAAACAAAAACATATTTCTGTTACTTCCCAGCACTCTTTTTTTTCCCTGAAGAAGGTTGAAATTTTTTTTTTAAGATTTTCCAGAAAGATCCTAACAAAAGTGGATTCTCCCAACAGAACACGATCGAATTACTTGAAGACTGTTTAGTGGGGATCTGGAACACAATGAAATACAGAACGAGAATTCTAAAAAGAAGCACTGTTTTCCTGAAACCCTTGGAGCACTACTGATAGATAGAAGGGTTGCTTGGTTCCACATGGGGTAGCTGCATCCATCATCATGAGATGGTTTAACATTGTACTATTCTGAAATATTCATTTTAATTTCTGACTTTTGGGTTTATTAAACCACTACCAAAAAAAAAAAATAGTATTTATAGAATTGTTGCTGATACATGGTATTTTCACAATGGCTTTCTCCCTTGCCTGAAAAGTGTTTAAAGCTCCCAGAGGCAGTGCCAATGAATGGCTAAGTAAGCAGAAATGGAAGTCTTCCAGAATTGGATCTGGTATCCTTCTTTATATTTTCCAGCATAAGGCAGTGATCAAATGTATACATTGCCTTCTTCTCACCTAGATGGGTTAGGTGACAGCATAAACTTTCTTTACATGCTAAATTGTTTTTTTGTTAGATTAGGATTGAAGGGTAGATTCAGTGCTTCAAAAATGCAGAGGTTTTCCTGTCGTCTTGATTAATAATGGCTTCTCCCCAAATGATGAATATGCCAAAAACAAAAGCACCATTCATTCCCAAGGGGGAGGGGGAGTTACAAGTAGTCCATGATTTATGACTGTTTGTTCAGAGGCCATCTGAAATTATGATAGCACTGAACAAAGAGACTTGCAACCTGTATCTGAATTTATAGCTGCTGCAGACCCCCTGTGGTCATGTGAACAAAAATCTGCCTGACTTTAGCACCAACTATAGGAATGCGCTAGAGACCTCACCTCTCTATTTTCCGCCATCCTGCCATGCTGGGTCCTTTGGGCTTACCTCCCAAACAGCTGAGTCACAGCTGAGTTCACAGGCCTTGGGCCTCCTCCACCCCACTGTTATGCCTAATTTCATTTACTTTTTCTGAAGATCACCTTTGGGAAGAAGAACCAGCCAATCCGCCATACAGCCTTCCTATACAGAGGCCATGTGGTGCTCTCCTGGAAGCGAGCAGCATTTGGGGAGTGGCCACAATTTGGCTCACTCCAGGAGGGTACAAACCAGCCTCTACCACTCTCAGAAAGGTGCCCACTTATAAGATGGCACCATACAACCTCTGTATAGGAAAGCCATGAGGCAGATTGGATGGTTCTTTTCCCCGAAGGTAATCCAAGATCCAATATGTGATAACAGATAATAGATAATCAGAGTTGGAAGGGACCTTGTAGGTCAACAACCCACGCCCAAGTGGGAAGACCCTAGACCATTTCTGACAAATGGCAGTCCAATCTCTTCTTGAAAGTCTCAAGTGATGGCGCTCCCACAACTTCCGAGAGCAAGCTGTTCCATTGGTTGATTGTTCTCACTGTCAGAAAGTTTCTTCTTATTTCCAGGTTAAATCTTGTCTTGTTCATTTTCCATCCATTATTCCTTGTCTGGCCTACAGGCGCTTTGGAAAATAGCTTGACTATTTGTTATTTGTGTATATGTTGTAGATTTGTTTTTTTTTAATTGTAATAAAATTTGTTTTAAAAAAAGAAAAGAAAATAGCTTGACCCCTTCCTCTCTGTGGCAGCCCCTCAAATATTGGAAGACTGCTATCATGTCTCCCCTGGTCCTTCTCTTTACTAGACTAGCCAAGCCCAGTTCCTGTAACTGTTCTTCATATGTTTTAGTCTCCAGTCCCCTAATCATCCTGGTTGCTCTTCTCTGTACTTTTTCTAGAGTCTCAACATCTTTTTTGTAATGCAGTGGACAAAACTGGATGCAGTAGTCTAGGTGTCGTCTTATGAAGGCTTTATAGAGAGGTATTAGTATCTCCCTTGATCTTGATTGTATCCCTCTGTTAATGCAACTTAGGATTGCATTAACTTTTTTTGTGGCAGCTGCATACTGCTGGCTCATATTTAGCTGGTTGTCCACTAAGACTCCAAGATCCCTCTCACAGTTACTGCTATTGAGCCTGGTTTCACCCAGTCTATATGTGTACTTTTGGGTTTTCTTGATAAAGTATTCAATTACTCAGTCCTTGCTTAGCATATAGTTCAGCCACATATTTTTGATGTATGATAATAAAGCACTACTGTAATATATAGCAACACTTTGAAAAAATATTTGGAGAACACCTGATATTTATTTTAGTGAGAAAGGAATTACATCCCCAGAGCAGTTTACACATTTCATTTATGAAAACAGAATTACTAATGAAATAATATGTTGTATTATGCATTTCTATCTGCTTATATGAGATTGGAAAATGTTTGCCTCAATAGGACAATGCAATAACAGCTGCGCTTCTTGAATTGGGGATGTTATTAGGTCTATAGTAATTTTCATGAGCAAAGTTATCACTCCCACCAACTTACTGAGATACAATCATAACTTGTAGCATCAAAAAAAGTTATCCTCCTATCAAGTGTATGTCACACACACACACACACAATTGAGCAAAAGGTCAATATTTCATTTCAAAATGGCTTATTAAGATTGGAGAGAGTAAAGATATTCAGTACATCAAATATCATATTTGTATTTGCATAGTTTGCATGAAGAATAATTAATTAGTTTTATAAAAGTTGATTTGCTACAAGTATTCTGACTGAAGAATACCAGATTGCCAGTCACACATAAAAAATCTAGTGAGTGATTTTACATGGATATACAATCTAATTTCTGAGATATTCTGCAGGGAGCAGAGTATCATCTGTTCTCCAAGTAACCTTTTTTAAAAAATTTAACTTTTTAGTCATTTTTTAAATGGCATGCTGATTTCCACAAGCTTGCCTTATATACTGGGTGTTAAAAGTAAACAGTATACTTTTCTGAGTTTATTTTTACAATGGACTTGCCAGTTTTATTTACATGCACATCCTTTTTTGGCATGTTGGCTAAAATAGTGAAAGATTTTTGTTATTGTAAATTTTGAACCTGGGTAATCTTTTATCATAACCAAATATTTTAGGAAAGGATAAAAAAAATAAAAGCATTTTCACCTGTTTCCATTGGTTTTTCTTTCTTATGCAGTTCTAGAAGAGGAAAACCAGAGTGTTATGTCTCCATTTGAAGGCTTATGGTTCCCCCTTGTTTCCTTGTGGTTACCTACTATTGCTGCCAGATGCAGTAGCAAAGGCAGAGATAACAGAAGTGAACATGGAAGAAAGATAACCAGATAGGGAAAAGATTTGCCCTTGGCTGGAAGACTTCATGTGACTCAGAGAGCCAGGCTGGTAGAGAAGGAGAATTATAAAGTGGAAGGTGGAAGAGAGATTAAGAAGGCATGATGAGAGGTGCCATCAGTTGTGCAGCGTCTATTAGGTTTTACAAGGCTTATTGGTGGGAACAGTAATAAAGGAAGGACCAGTTGTGGTCTTCCACAAATTACAGATCCCCTTAAACTGACCCCACTCTCACCGCCCAAAAGGAAAGGCAAGCTGCAAATTGGAGGGATTTCATTTCCTTGATAGTCACAATTCATGATAGATGGGAAGGTTCAGTCCATTTGTGGAATGATGAAACCCAGTGGCTTGCCAACATTAAAGAAACCATCTCTAGGCATCACAGAATGTTTCTGGAGGAGGACTATTTCTGTTTTCTGATGGAAAAGATCAAGGGTCTGGCTAGATTGCCTGGAGCAAATTCACAATTTCTCAGTAGCAAGCTGGCCCTGAGATGGAGGAATCTTGGGTGAAAATATGTCCTCAATAAACAGTAATTAGACTATCTTTAATCTAGGAGCCTCAGTGGCTCAGTGGGTAGGTACTGCACGCCACTTCTGCTGACTCTTGGCTGCCTGCAATTTGGCAGTTCAAATCCCATCAGGCTCAAGGTTGACTCAGCCTTTCATCCTTCTGAAATGGGTAAAATTGCTGAGGCAATATGCTGACTCTGTAAAACCGCTTAGAGAGGGCTATAAAGCAGTATATAAGTCTAAATGCTATTGCTACAGCAATGGGGCTATGAGGATGAGGTAACAGTGGTCAAAATGTATATTATGTTACCTGCCCTTAATTTTATTTCACTTAAAACTAAGTGCTTAAAAATGGAAAATGCAAATTCATTCATAGGTGTATTTTAGCCCAGATCTTACCAGATTCTTTTATATACACATCTTTCTTAGGCAGCTTGGCTAAAAAAAAAAAGTATTTTGGTTATAATAATTTATATATAGACAATCAATATTCCTATCATAACTATTTGTTTCAGGAAGCAAAGGTTAGAAAATAAAAGAGTGCTTACCTATTTGTATTGACTTTTCTTTCTTATCGGATTCTAGAAAATAAGAGGAAGACTGAAAGATGGTGATCCTAGATAACTTATTGTGAGCATTTTTACTTTTTTAGTTTGCTAAGATCTTACCAGATTCTTTTACAGGAATATCCTTCTTTGGTAGCTTGGCTAAAATTAAATAATACAAATTTGAAGTTATTATAAATTTTAAACAGGGAACTAAAAATAGGACATGGACAGCACACTTACCAATTTCTTTTTGCTTTTCCTTCTTGTGTATTTCTAGAAAACAAGAGTGAAGAAAATGATGTTTCATTGAATGATGCGTTCTACATTTGATGGTTTATTTTCATCATTAGCAGCCACTGCTCTTATGAAATACTCATTCCTATAGTTTTTTCTTAATTTTAATTTTCAAAATGGAAAGTGGAATTTTCCAAATTTATTCTTTCTCAATTCTCAATTTTGCTTGCTTGCACAGGCTTTTTTGACAGCTTGGCTACAATAAAAAGATTTAAATAGATCAATTATTGTAAATGCTGAATACAGATTATTAGTATGTATAACACATCTTTCAGGTATGGTTATCTCAGGAAAATAAGAGTGTGCTTACCTATTTCAGTTGGCTTTTCTTTCTTGTCTGTTTCTAAAGAGGAAGGACAAAAATATGAATTCTGCATTGGGTATTTAAAATAAACAGAGTATAATTTAATACATAATACAGAAGCAAATGATGGAGTGAGGTACTTAGAGGCAAAAAGTTGTAATTCCCCAATTGAAATTAAATTGGGATTGAAGGGACTGCTCTGACTAGATAACTCAACTTTGGCAGACTGTACTTTATTATCTATTCATTCACAGTTTTCCCCTCTGGTGCAAACACATTGGTGGCCTCTCCTCCTACTTTTGTTGCTGTTAAATGTCACAGTAAAGCTCTCTCACAATGACAGATTTAAGAAAAATGGCATCTGGGGGAAGAAGATGAAGTCTAAGGAAGGGTCCAAACTTGACTAGGATGTGGGAAGGAGGCAAAGAAGAAGTAAAAGGTGGGCCATGGAAGAGAGGCTCAGATCAATTGGAGGGTGTGTGTGCATGTCTTGCTAAGACTGCCATGGAGGTAATAGATAGAAACAATAACTTAGGGATTACTCACCAGTGTTGGTGGTTTATGAGTTCAATATTCCAAACAAAGCCTACCAGCTAGACAGAAGCAAGGACAACCTCCAAATATGAAAGATCTAGTTTTACAGTAGCCACAGTTATAATGATATTAGATTTACAAGGATTCATAGCCAGATGGGATGGTTTAGTCTTATTGCGGAATAACTGAAATGCAACAATTTACCAATTCAGTCGTACAGGGCGTGTGCTGTATGACCTTCTGAGATCACCTGGAAGAATTCCAGCCTGCCTCAGCAGCAAGCAAACCCTAACATGAAGCATCTCAGGTGAACACATCTCTTCAAGCAACAGCAAGCAAATTATGTTGGAGCAGGGCAAGGAATGACTGTTAAGAAACCAAAAGTGGGCAGAAGGCATTCTATTTTCCATCCTTGATTTCTTCAGTCAGATTTTCTTCACAGCAAAAACATCTTAATAGTCTTGAGTTAATTGTAAATTGCTAAATTTGTTTTTACCCAAATCTTACCAGATTCTTTTACATGGATATCCTTCTTTAGCAGTTTGGCTAAAATGAAAGTATATACATACTGAGTTATTATAAACGTTGAACAACTCTACCATATCATTTGCTTCAAGAAAATAAAGGAGGTACAATGACAACATACTCACCTATTTCTATTGGCTTTTCTTTCTTATGTGTTACTAGAAAACAAGAAAAAGATCAGAATATGATTTCTGCATTTCAGAGTACAAAATAAATATTAATTCCATACATAAAACATGTTAAAATCATAGAATGAGATAACTTTAAGTCAGTGATCTGACTTAATTCCATAATTAAAAGAAAGCAGAGTTGACAAGACCCTTCTGGCCAGATAATTTTTTGTTACTTTTAAAAATGGGAAGTTGAATTTCATGTGTTTTTCCCGTTAAGGTCTTACTTGTTTGGTTTGCATGCACAGCCTTCTTTGGCAGCTTGGCTAAAATGAAAAGGTATAAATATATGGATTATTATAAATGTTGAATATGGATAATGACTTTTTGGAACAAATTTTTCAAGTAAGCATAGGTGGGAAAATAGGAGCATGCTTACCTGTTTCTACTGGTTTCCATTTCTTATTTACTTCTAGAAAGCAAGAAGACCAGAAAATTACTTCTACAGTTGGTTTTTTTATAGCAAGCAGTCAGAGACACTCTACATAGAATTATATCATAGACTGAGTTCCCTTGAAGTAAGAGAATCTTTTAATTTGACAGTTAAAACGAAGCATAGACTAAATGAGGGGGTTTTTTTTTTACTAAAAAAAAACCTAAGGGGGCAGAATGTAGTCTATCCAATTTTGCAACTTTAATTCAAGGTAACTCACTAGTTTTATGGCACATTCATTTCCACAGCGTGTGTTTACATAGTAATTGTCCATACAGAGTGGATAATAGGATTAATAGGAAGTTTTACATAATACTTACCAGTTTTATTTACATGCACATCTTTTTTTGGCTCTTTGGCTGAAAATCAAACATTTTCACTATGACATAGATTGAACACAGATAATCAATATTCATTTAATGCCCATGTGTTTCAGAGAAGACACAACAAAGGGATGCTTACCCATTTCTCTTGGCTTTTCTTTCTTGTGGGGTTCTAGAAAGTAAGAGAAAAACCAGACAATGACGTCAACATATGGGAGTTGGGAGAGAAAGGGTCTGCCCCGACACAAGACAGTGGTTTGTTCCTTCTCCTCTGCCAATTAAAGGAAATAGCAACAGAGGAAAGAGGAACAGGAGGATGGAAAGGAGTTATTTTATTTTTCCTTATTTTTTTTAATTGCACATTCATTCCTATAATCTTGTGTTATGCTATACTAAATGTTCAAAGTAATTTCTACATTTGATCTTACTCATGTCTTACTGGATCTTTTAACATGCATATCATTCTTTCGCAGCTTAGCTAAAATAAATGCTTTTAAATATTAGTTTATTATAATGTTTGAACAGCATATTATAGCCATAAGTTTCAGAGAAGCAAAGGGTAAAGAATAAGAACATAGTGAACTGTTTCTAGAAAATCAGAGAATTATTTCTGTACAAGAGTGTTTTATAGTAAATTAAGACGATGTTTTATAAAGAATAAAATATAAAGATCACTTATAGACAGTGAGACCTCTCAAATCACAATTAAAACAGGGATTGAACAAGCTTTTCTAACTAGATAATCCATAGTGGACAGAATGCAATATATTAATCATCTTTGATATTATTCTATTACTTGGTCACTTCTCTTAATCACTTTTCTTAGACACTTAATAAGTATGGAAAACTCATCTCCATAAATCTGTCTTAATTTACAGTAAATGTTCAAAGTGAAACGTAATTTCATGCATATGTTTTTACCAAAGTCTTACCAGATTCTTTTACATGTATATCCTTCTTTGGCAGCTTAGCTAAAATAAAAAGATCATGCATTTTGATTATGATAAAAATTTGGAACCTAGGTTATTTATATTCATGTGTTTCAGAGATGCAAAGATTAAACGCAGGTGCATATTTACCCGTTTCTGCCAACTTTCCTTTCTTGCGTGATTCTAAGAAAGAGGAAGAGAAGAACATGATTTCTGTATTTTAGTGTTCATTGCATAGTGTGGGATTATTCCATATATTACAAGCATTTGGGGCACAGGTAAGAGAAGGTTCCTATTTTGCATATGTACACTAATTAACTCCTCTTCTTCTGCTGCTCTCAGATGTGAGAGTAAAGTTCTCCCATGAGCAGAGATTTAAGAGAAATGGTATTTAAGGGAGGAGGACTAATTATAAAGAAGGGTCCATACTTGGCTGAGTTGTGAGAAGGATACAGGCAAAGAAGAGGTAAAAGGTGGGTCATGGAAGAGAGGCTCAGATCAATAGGATGGGGTGTCATGCAGTGTCTTGCTAAAGCTGCTATGGGGGTTATAGATAGCAATAGTAAACTTAGAGGAAACTTTGTGTTGATTATTAATGAGTTCCATATTCCAAACAAGGCTACCAGCCATACAGAAGCAAGGACTACCTCCAGATACTAGTTTTCTAGTAGCCACAGTTAACATGACATTGGATTCACAAGGATTCATGGCCAGATGGGATGGTGTGGGCCTCTTGTGGGATAACTGAAATCCAACAGTTTGTCAATTCTAACGACTACTTCTTTTGTCAACTCTGTCATACAGGAGGTCTACTTCTATTTTCTGATGGAAAACTCCATGATATGGATGGATCACCTGGAAGAATTTCAGCAGCAAACAAACCCTAAGCTGAAGTATCTCCTGTGAGGACATATCTTGAAAGGTGGTTGAAGCTACTCCAGCTTATCAAAATAGAAAATGGTAAGCAAATGACCTTGGAGCAGGGTAAGGGATGAGCACTAAGTAACCAGGAATGGGCAGAAGGCACTCTATTTTCCATCCTCACCATTCGATTTCTTCAATCAGGCACATTTTCAAGGCAAATCATGTTGATGGTCTTGGGTTAATTTATAGAAGGAATTGAAAATTGTAAGTATAATGTGCTAGAATTGTTTTACTCAGCCCTTACCAGTTTCTTTTAAGTGGACATCACTCTTTGGCAGCTTGGCAACAAAAAGATATATAAGTACTAAGATGATAAACATTAACAACTGGTTTAAACTACTTGCTTCAAGGAAGTTAAGGAGATACAGTGACAACGTGCTTACCAGTTTCTGATGGCTTTTCTTTTTTATGTGTTTCTAGAAAATAAGAGGGAGATCAGAATGTGATTTCTGCATTTCAAGGTGCAAAATAAAAAGCAAGGGGTGTGCTTATAATTCCATACACTACATAGATTAAAATAATAGAGCAAGATCATTTTAACTCAGCAAGTCTTTTAAATCCACATTTAAAACAACAGGTAGAAAAGGAACTTCTGGTCAGATCATCTCATTGGACAGAACATAGTCTCCTATCCATGCTTGATATTTTATTTCATTTTACTTATGGAACACTAATTTCTGTTGTTTTTATTAATTTTTGAGAGTATAAAATGTAATATTTTATTTTTTTCCTCTCAGGTCTTACCAGTTTTGTTTGCGTGCACAGCCTTCTTTGGCAGCTTGGCTAAAATGAAAAAATTATAATAAATGTTGAATCTGGATAATCAGTCCATGTAACATACCTTTCAGGTAAGCACAGGTGGGAAAAATAAAAACATGCTTACCTATTTCTATTGGTTTTTGTTTCTTGTCTGCTTCTAGAAGGTAAGAGGGAGACCATGATTTTTGCATTCAAAATTTCAAAATAAACAGTCTGTAATTTAATACTGAACAAACAATAAAGTGACAGACTTCAATTCCACAAGTAAAACTAATCTGGAATTGAATAGATTCTGAATTTGGTTGGCAAAATGCACTTTATTATCTATTCTTTTTGTTTGTTTCTGTGTTTTTCTTCTTAAGGCTTATATGTCTTCTAAATTGAGAAAAAGACTAAACAGTTGCCGTCCCTTCTTCTAGTAATAGGACTAAAATGCAACACATTCATGTCTTCATGATAGTGCTTATCTGCCAGCAAACAAGGAAATATTTCTTCTATATTTCTTCTTTAAGCCTGGAGGACCTTCAACTCCCAGAATTCTGGGAGTTGAAGCTTAAAGTTGCCAAGGTTGGAGACCCCTGTTCTAGATCACCCATAATCTGGCTCCAATACCAAGGTCCATTTTGAGGACATCTCCTTTAAAAGGGGCAAGCAGACCATCTTGGAGTCAAAGGAACAGGACTGTATGGATGAAGCCTAAGTAACCCACAGTTTGAAGAATATAGTATATTATTCACATTTTGTGCTTTATTTTCACTAGAAAATAAACATCCATTTTCATAGTCTTTTGTTAATTTATACTAAGCATTCAGAGGGAACATAGCCATTTCTGAGATATGTTTTTACCCCAGTCTTACCAGATTCCTTTACATGCACATGTTTCTTTTTATATATATATAGATATAAAAATTCAGTTATTCCACATTTTGAACATGTATAACCCATATCTATGTCCAAAAAAAAAGAAAATATTAACATACTAACTTATTTCTATTGGCTTTTCTTTTTTATGTGATTCTAAGAAGTAAGAAGAAGAACAAAATATGATTCTCCATCAAAGTCTATACAGCAAATATTACAAAGAATGAAATGATAGAGCAAGATCACACACATACAACAATTCCATGATTCACCAATTAAAATAAAACTGGGATTGGATCAAATCTCAAAAAGCACTCTTCCTTCCTTCCTTCCTTCCTTCCTTCCCTCCCTCCCTCCATCTCCAAATTACAGTGACTTAGCTACCTCTTTCCATTAATAGGACTGAAATGCTATACATTTTGTATATATAATATAGAAAAGAACCATAAATAATCCACAATTGCTGACTTTTTTTGACCAACTACAAACTACTCATCCATCCCCAAAGGGTCTCCAGAATAGCAACTTTTTAACAACTTTCCAGAATTGAGCACGGATGGGGCCAATCTCATCTCTGGTATCCCTGCTTAAAGGAGGGTGAACAACAAGGTGCTTTGAAAGCAATTTTCTCCATGGGTGGGAAAATGGGCAGATTCCAACTGGTGAAGGCTGTCTTACAAATGCATAAATTTATTTCATTTCTTAGATTTATATTTCACTTTTTCTTCTTATGGAACGCATAGTGTCCACTCCTCCCATTTCTGCCATAGTGTTTCCTTGATTGGATTCAAGAGAAACTGCCTGAAACTCCCCCATGGTTTCTATGGCTAAATGTGCATCTCTCTGATGCCAACCCAATTCCATAACCATTATATTCTTTCCATCTATCATTTTATTTTACTGGTTATTCACTTGTCAATTCTTACACGTGTTCAATTATACACAATATAATTCAATATTATTAAATTAAATATAATTAAAAGAGCCAGGAGGCAATTAGAGAGCCAAGCTGGAGCATAGCTATCCCCACTCAGCTTTCTGAGCCCCAGATAAATACAATTCCCCGGTGGCAGCCAGAAAGCCAAGCCAGAACGGACTTACAGTCAGCCAGTCTAAATCCCAGCAAGAAAAACTTCTTGTTTTTTGTTGTTACCAGGAAACAATCTTGCTACAAAATAATTCCTACAATTCTCTACCTTACCAACAATCTCTCACCAACCTCTACCCCACCAGGAAACTATTACTTAGTAGCCATTAAAACAAAAGAAACCACGTGGCTTTAAGGAGTTTTCCAATCCTAAGTTTTCTTAGGTAGAGTCTTGAATTGAGTCAGCTGTGAACAGAATCAGCAGCTGTGGTTCCCCAAACAGGATTCCCTGAACGGAGTCAGCATGTTTCAGTGATTCAGCGTATTTTACTCTAATTCAATAATTCAGCGTGTTTTTAGTCATCCTGTTACAGACTGTTTCAGCGTGTTCCAAACCTACAGCTTTTACAACGTGTCTCATCCAGCGGATCAGATAACAGCAGCCATCAAAGCAATAAATCCTTCTCACCCAGTGGATCGACTAGCAGCAGCTAGCAAAGCAATTACCCTTTACTTGATGACTCTCAATACTACTTCATTAATTTAATATTTAAATATTGATTACTTCATTACCTCAAAACTTATAACTTTTCTACCTCATGACCTATATCAATGATTAGATAATGATGTCTCTAAATCAATTTCTATAAAATAATTAATGTATCAATGGATTAATTGATTTATTGTTTTGATTGATTCGTGTGATTAGAGTGTTTAGTGCAAATAGTGTGATTACTGATCAGTATAAAAGATCAGGATCAATGTAATTAATTGATTAGTAAAATTAGTGAATTAGTGAATTTAATTGACCAGTGTGATTAGCGATTAGTGTAATTAATTGATTAGGCTGATTATTGCTTAGCAAAATTATTTAACTAGAGAAATTATTGTAATTGATTAATTGATGTGATATTGGCTATATTGATTACCCAAATATCTTGTTTCATGAAGCAATTTAATCAACATACCATCTCAACAAACCTACCATGCCAGGAAAAAAATCCAGTGCCAAACCACAATCTAAAGAGAAAGAAATCCCCACCAGTGAACCACAAGACTCCTTCACATGCCTTAATATGTAATGACACTCTAAAGGTTAATGAAAATTCCACCAAATGTTCTCTATGTGACAACTATGCTCACCATGGCTGCTTGGGATTACCCAAGCAAATGACTCAATTCCTAGAATTATCCAACCATGCATTTCAATATTTCTGCCCAATATGCAGACCCAAAGTGGACAAATATATTGCCCTGTTTGAAAGATTCTATGATACAATAGAAACACGAATAACATCCCTTGACACCATAGTAGCATCCCTGGACACTTTAAAAGAAAGCTTAACTAACCTTGAAAAAAAAGACACAAAAAAAAACCTGAACAACCAATAGCTACAAACCACATCTCTACCCAACAACTGCAACCCAATCCACAAAAAAACACAAATCCAACAAATAATGATATCCCAATCCTCGTCAGAGAAGCTGTCAAGCACAAATGGAAGCGTCCAAACGCCATCTTATTTGGTCTAGAGGACAACAATGTCAATGATGACATCACAATTGTCCACAACATCATCAGTGACTATCAAGCATCAACCATCTCCCCTGATGAAATACTTGACATCAGCCCAGAGTTCAGAAACAGTGACGGCTCGGTGGCGCCACCTTCTGCAGGGTCATTTGCAAAAATGAATCAAGCAAACATAAATTCATTTATACTATAAATTCACTCTCCAAAAGCAACACCAACCATAAGAACCTCTGTTCATGCTCTCACCTAACTTTACAGCAATGTGTACAATCCCATGAGCTATGCTCTCAGCTCAAAAAACTCCATGAACAAGGAAATACTAACCTATACATTGACTACCACCCAGAATGTATCAAAATCAAGACCTTCAACTTACACCCCAAAACCATCACCCCAACATCCAACATTAGGCATGCACACCACTTACTTCCTCCAGACCCATTACTACATATCTAAAATGCAAACTACTCAACACAAGAAGCCTCGCAAACAAAATGCATGAATTCCTCATCTTATTAGGCACAACCACATTTGACCTTATATTTGTCTGTGAGACATGGTTAAATGCATCTTTTCCAGACTCCATTACCACAGTCAGTGAATATCACGTTTATCCGTCAGATCGCGAAATCTGTAGAGGAGGTGGAGTTGCTATCTTCTACAAACAAATCCCTAAATCTAAAAAAGATTCAGATTACACAGGAACTTGCTCTCCCAGATACCATCGTCTGTGAACTGTCCTCAAATGCCATAATCTGCTTCTTACTATGCTACAGAGCCCCAGATTATGACATAGTTCATGCAAACAAGCTAACTTCACTGTTAACGTGGGCTGCCTCTTTCCCTCACCTTCTTATTTTCTTTGGCGACTTCAATCTACCTCTTATAAATTGAACACTAAATGAATGTACATCCAAACCCATACATGCAACCCTGTACAATGCTTACTACACTGAGACTGGATCAATTAGTAACTAACAACACTAGACTCAATAACTGCCTCAACCTTATCTTCTGCAACAGCTCAAACTCAATATATGGTCTACAAATACAAGAACCCTTTTCAAACAGTGACCACAGTATGATCAACTTTTGTCTCAATTTACACCCTCACAAAGAAGATCATAATGTTGAATCCCCAAAATATAACTTCAAAAAAGCCAACTATAATCTCATACATGCTGACCTATCATCTCTTGATTGGCACATTCTGTTCTCTAGCTGTAATACTACAGAAGACCATTATAATGCATTCTTATTTGAACTTGAAAGAGTCATTAAACTATATGTGCCATTAGCAACCCCCAGAACAAAAACAAAGTGAATTACCCATAACAATAAGGAAACTTCAGTTTAAAAAAAGATCGCTATGATGTAAAAACAAAACCAGCTACTTAGCAAACTTTAAAAACCAATACAACACTCTATGCCGACAGATAAAAATAGAATGCACAAATTACCACTGCAAATAAGAGGAAAACCTCCTATGTACAAAATCCACCTGCGCCTTCTACAATTTTATTAACACCAAACTTAAAGAATCAAGAACCTTCCCACCCCTAAAAGGATCAAATGGGAAAGACTGCAACGATGAAGCTGTTAAGGCCAATCTCTTCAACACATTCTTTAGTTCAGTCTTTGTAAACAGCAATGGTTCATGCCCCACAATTCCTAGTTGTACCACAACTAACTGTAATGACCTGCTACATATTGACTTTACAGAAGATAATGTAGAAAAGGCACTACGAAATCTAAAACCATCCCTATCTATTGGACCCGATGGATTATGTGCATACTTCTTTAAAAAAGCTCTCCTCTGCCATAGCGGAACCCATAAGCATTATATATGAGATCTCTTTCAGAACCAGCTCCTTTCCAAACCTATGGTCCTTAGCTATGGTCATCCCTATCTTCAAAAAAGGTGACCCCAGCCTGGTTGAAAACTACAGACCAATCTCACTGTGTTGTGTCACATGCAAAGTCATGGAATCAATCATTAACCAATTCATCACTCTCCACTTAGAGTCAAACAATGTACTCTCCAAAAAACAATTTGGTTTCAGGAAAAAATTGTCCTGCAATCTACAATTCCTACACTGCAAAAACATATAGACTACTCTACTTGACCAGGGTAAAGCTATAGACGCAATTTACACAGACTTCTGCAAAGCCTTTGATTCAGTGGTACACAACAAACTACTGTTGAAACTAAACTCTTACGACATTTCCAGATCCCTCCATAAGTGGATTATTGCGTTCCTGTCAAACAGGCAACAAATAGTAAAAATAGGGAGCGCTACATCTAACCCTGCCCCAGTTAATAGTGGTGTCCCCCAAGGCAGTGTTCTAGGACCCACATTCTTTATACTCTATATAAATGACCTTTGCAATCACCTTATGAGCAACTGCGTCCTCTTTGCAAATGACATAAAACTATTCAACACCACTAACAATGCTTCTATCCTTCAAAGCAATCTTGATTATGTGTCTGAATGGTCAAACATCTGGCAACTCCAAATCTCAACCAACAAATGCTCTGTCCTACACATTGGTAAAAAAAAATCAGTGCACCAAATACAAACTAGGCGGATATGACCTCATCGATGATCCATACTCTGTCAAAGACCTTGGAATTCTCATATCAAATGACCTAAGCACCAGAGCTCACTGTAACAGCATTGTCAAAAAGGCATTAAGAGTTGTAAATCTAATCTTATGAAGCTTCTCTTCTGGAAATATCGAATTGCTAACTAGAGCATACAAAACTTTTGCCAAACCAATATTTGAATACAGCTCATCAGTCTGGAATCCTCACTGCATATCAGACATTAATACAATCAAGCGAGTCCAGAAGTATTTCATGAAAAGAGTACTACACTTCTCTGCTCGCAACAGAATACCCTATATCACCCGGCTTGAGTTTTGGGGCTTGGACAACCTTGAACTACGCCACCTATGGTTAGACTTAAGTGTAGCACACAAAATTATCCACTACAATGTCCTACCAGTCAATGACTACTTCAACTTCAACCACAACAATATAAGAGCACACAACAGATACAAACTCAATGTAAACCGCTTCATACTTGATTGCAGAAAGTACGACTTCAGCAACAGAGTGGTCAATGCCTGGAATGCACTACCTGACTCTGTTGTTACATCCTCTAACCTCCACTCCTTTAACCTCAAACTAACCACTATTGACCTCACCCCATTCCTAAGAGGTCTGTAAGAGGCGTGCATAAGTGCATCATCGTGCCTACCATCCCTGTCCTATTGTCCCCATTTATTTGTACCTACTTCCTGTATTCTTACTCATGATTATATTTATATCTATTAACTTGTAGGTGATTGACAAATCAAATAAATAAATAAATAAAAATATTCTTCTACTGATTTATATAGTGTTTAAACTTATTTTATTCAGGTCTTACCAGATTGTTGAATATGGATATCCTTTTTGGGCTGGGGTGCTGAGAAACAAAGATATTGGGTTTACATACATTCTGGGCTGTTCTATCAATATAATTCAGGGAAGCCAAGACAAGATAACAGGAAATAAACTCAAATTTACTTATTATACTAAGTGTTAAAATTCCTCCCTGTATCCCTCCCTCCCCTCTAATTTTTTAGATTGATTTTTTTCCCTTGTGCTTACCAGTTTCTTTCATATGCACATCCTTCTTTGATAGCTTTGCTGAAATAAAAAAGTGTAAATATTGGGATATTATAACTCTAAACATTATCAATATGCTCCACTGAGAGCAAGGTTAGATAGCCTGAACCCATGTCTGTTAGCTTATCTTTCTTGTGTATTTCTAGAAATTAAGAAGACCAGACCATGATTTCTGCTTTAGAGTAATTACAATAAATAGTATTCTTTCTTCCCATTTCTTCCCACAAGAAGAACCTTGTGAGGTTAGTTGGACTGAGACAGACAGACTGGCCCAAAGTCATTTACTCAGGCTCCATGGCTGAATATAGACTTGAACCTAGGTCTCTCTGTTGCCAGTTCAAACTCTTAAGCACTACACCAACTTGATTCTCGTTAACCATTTTACTTCAGAACTTAAGCACTTCTTTCTCATCTCTTCCAGGTAGACCCAAAGAAGGAAATCAATTCAAAAGGGAGGCTAAAACTACTTTTTATTGAGTTTGGTTAATAAAGCAAAATTCTAGCAAATTAGACTGTGCTGAACCTCATCCTCTTCCTCCTTAGCAAATTAGGGAAGCATTTGCCTGAGCCACTTCCAAATGTTATAGAGCTATTCTGGACTTTTAAAATGTTTCATCCCTTGTCATCTTGTCAATGGAGTTTGCCTACCATTATCAAGGTCATTTTCCTTATTCTCTACATTTTCCCTATGCCACATCTATTTCCACTGTCTGATGTTAATTTATATTAAGAGCTAAAAGTAGAAAGTACTAGCGGAAAGGGAGATATGAATCCATGGCAATGATTATTCAGCATCTCTTCCTGACCACAAGGGGGAAGCTGGAAACACATAGATAACTCAGGATTTGTTTTGCTTCCATCTTTTATTTATCTCATTCTGCCTGCTGTTTGTTTTAAAGACTTACTAATCTGAGTTCACTTCCTTCTGCATTTGCTCCAGAAATATATGCATGAAATGCATTTTCTTTTACTTTTCCCCTGGTAGGATGTAGCTAGCTTTGCCTATTCCTATAATGTATTGTTTATGAGCAACTCTTTTTCTTTTATAGATATTCAACCTGTGCTACTAGTAGTAGCTCAGGTTAAGTTCCAGCTCACACAAACACACCACTCTTACAGAAAGTGTACTTTGCAAGATTTATTTTTATTCAGATCTGAAAGATTCTTTGATAATCTTATCTTTCTCTGAAAGCTTGGCTAAAATTATTGTTTTAGGTTACTATAAATTTTGAACAATACACCATGTCAGTGCTGCAGGGAAGCAAATTGGAAAAGAAAATGAGAATATTTACCTATTTTCACTGTTTTTTCTTTCTTATGCGGCTCTAGAAATAAGGGGTAGACAAAAACATATCTGCATTGGAGTGTCCAGTGACCTCAGTGAAACTTTTAATTTGAGAAAAATGAAGCCAAATTGAGCAGGTTCTTCTGAATAGAAAACCCAGAAATGGTTACAATGGTTGATCATTTTAATTGATTGGTTTCACAGAACACTCGTTGTCATAGAGTTGTGTTAATTTATAGCAATTCTTCAAACAATTTTTGAAGTGCAATTCAAGTGCAATTTTTTAGGTTTATTTCTATATGGCACTTACTGGCTTTATTTACATCTTTCTTTGGTACTATGGCTAAAAGAAGGATTCAAACATTTGGACTATGACATAGATTGAATCCAAATGATCAATATCCCTTTAATGTCCATATGTTCCAGAGAAGTGCAGAAGACAAAATAAGAAAACTCTTACCCATTTCACTTGGCTTTTCTTTCTTGTGGGGTTCTAGAAAGTAAGAGGAAAACCAGTACATGATGTCAACATTTAGGTGTTCACATTAAAGGGAAAGATTCTTCTCCTGGCATAATGACAGTGGTTTGTTCCTTCTTCTTCTGCTGTGGTCAGGGGTCGAGCAATGTTCTCTGCCAAGTTCAAAGTTAAAGGAAGGGGCAGCAGAAGGAAGAGGAATAGGATGGGGGACAGGGGTCATCTTTGGTTGGGGGCTGCTAATGAGGAACGGAATCAGGCAAGCAGAGGAAGATTACTACATGGACAAGAACAAGGGGTATAGACAGCTATGTAAGAAATGGTCCTGGAATAAACAGAGTCTGGTAAAGCTGTGAGGAGATTACTGTGATGGTATGTGAAAATGACCTTGAGATACAGAAGCAAGACCTCTAACCTAGTCAGTGGTCTGTTATAAAAATTCTTCAAATAGAAAGATGCAATTTTCTAGATTTATTTTTACATGGTACTTACCAGTTTTGTTTATATGCACATCTTTCTTTGGCACCTTGCCTAAAAGAAAAAGATTCAAACATCTTGAATATGACATAGATTGAACACAAATGATCAATATCCTTTTAATGCCCATATGTTCCAGAGAAGTGCAGAAGACAAAATAAGAGAGCTCTTACCCATTTCACTTGGCTTTTCTTTCTTGTGGGGTTCTAGAAAGTAAGAGGAAAACCAGAACATGATGTCAACATTTGGGTGTTCATACTAAATGGAAACATACTTTGCCTGGCACAAAGACAGTTGGTTTGTTTCTTATCCTGCTGCTGCGATCAGGGGTTGCAGCAATGTTATCTGCCTAGTTCAAAGTTAAAGCAAGGGGCAGTGGAAGGAAGAGGAACATGTCTGGTAAAGCTGTGAGGATATTATTGTGATGGCATGTGGAAGTGATCTTGGGAGACAGAAGCAAGACCTTCATCCTAGTCAGTGGTCTGATAAAAGGCAGCTTAGTCTGCCAATGGGGGGAAAGTCTGGGAAGCATTTCAGAATGGACACTCACACTCCCTCTAAAGGACTAAAAAAAGGTGGGTAGAAATATTTTCAGTCTTGCAGGATTTTACTTAAGGGCTAATGATTATTGATGGGAGTACTGTACTTAGAGAATACTCAGTTTTGGTTTAAAGTAGACCAACTCTCACTAAAAAGAAAGGATAAACTTTACGTGTGAAAGTTCCAATATCTCTAATTAAATTAAGTATGGAAGGAATCCACAACCAATTGATATGGTCCTTCTATAGGTTTAGAGCCCAGTATGCTAGCAACACTAAAGGCAAAACATTCTACTTGTGGAGGAGGTCTTTTTCTGCTCTCTCAGAGAAAATAAATTTTCTAGTTGGATGAGCTGGAGTAGCTTCAATCGGCCTCTCCATCAAACCAACCTTGAGAAAAAAAAAGGCCTCATACAAGGATATATCTTCAACAAGGGATAAGCAAATGATCTAGGAAGTAGAATAAGAGATGAGTTCTAGGAAACCAAGAATGAGCAGAAAGCATTATTATTTCTTTTTCTTTTTTTCTTTTTTTTCTCATATTTTTCAAGGCAACTCATCACAATAATTTTGTATTAACTGATAGGAACTGATAGGAAGTGAAAATTGCTAGATCTCTTTTGATCCAGATCTTACCAGATTCTTTTACATGGATATCCTTCATTGGTAATTTGGCTAAAATAAAAAGTTAAAAGAACTAAGTTTTAATCAATGTTGTACACCTGTGATATATTAATATCTTTCACATAAGTAAAGGTGGGGCAGTAATTCATATTTACCTGTTTCTAATGGCTTTTCTTTCTTGTGGGGTTCTAGACAATAAGAGAAAGACCAGAACATTATTTCCCTCATCTTCATAGAGTTGTGTTAACTTATAACATTCAAATGGAAATATGTAATTTTCTAGATTTATTTCTACATGGCACTTACCAGTTTTGTTTACATACACATCTTTCTTTGGCACTTTGGCTAAAAGAAAAAGATTCAAACATTTGGACTATGACACAGATGGAATCCAGATGATCAATAGCTCTTTAATGCCCATATGGATCTTACAAAATAAGAGAGCTCTTACCCATTTCTCTTGGCTTTTCTTTTTTGTGGAGTTCTAAAAAAATAAGAGGAAAACCAGAACATGATATCAACACTTGGGTCTTCATACTTAAGGGCCCTTCCCTCTGGCAGCAAGTCAACCCTGACAAAGAGGATCTCATAGAAGGATATATCTTCAACAAGTGATAAGCAAATGACCTAGGAAGCAGGACAAGGGATGAGTCCTAAGAAACCAAGAATGGGCAGAAGGCATTCTATTATTTATCATTATTTGATCTTTTTTTCTCAGTCTCTTTTTCAAGGCAACTGATCATACTAATTTTGTGTTAACTGACGGGAAGTGAAAATCGTTGGATTTATTTTGATTCAGATCTTACCAGATTCTTTTATATGGATGGCTTTCATCGGTAGCCTGTCTAAAATGAAAAGAAAAAAGTACTGAGTTTGAATAAACGTTGCACCGTTGTACTATATTATATATGTTTTGCATAAAGAATTCATGTTTACCTGTTTCTAATGGCTTTTCTTTCTTGTGGGATTCTAGACAATAAGAGAAAGACCAGAACATTATATCTCTCATCTTCATAGAGTTGTGTTAACTTATAACAACCTTTCAAATGGAAAGATGCTATTTTCTAGATTTATTTCTACATGGCACTTACCAGTTTTGTTTACATGCACATCTTTCTTTGGCACTTTGGCTAAAAGGAAAAGATTCAAACATTTGGACTATGACAAGATGGAATCCAGATGATCAATATCCCTTTAATGCCCATATGTTCCAGAGGATCTTACAAAATAAGAGAGCTCTTACCCATTTCTCTTGGCTTTTCTTTTTTGTGGGGTTCTAAAAAAATAAGAGGAAAACCAGATCATGATATCAACATTTGAGTGTTCATACTAAATGGACCCTCCCTCTAAAAGACTAGAAAGAGGAGGGAAGAAATATTTTCAGTCTCACCAGGTTCTATTTAAGTGCTAGTGATTACTGATAGGAGCAGTGTAACTTAGAGAATGTTATAGGGTCTCCTGCCTGACCAGGAACCTGGATTAAAAGACCTCCAAGTTCCCTTCCAGCTCTATTCTATTCTTCCCTTCTAACATTCAGTTTTGATTTTTGGTATTGGGTAGACTAACTTTTCCTAAGAAGAAAATATAAACTTTAAGTGTGAAAGTTCTAATATCTTCGATTTTCAAATTAAATTAACTGTGAAGGGCATTTATAACCAATTCATATGGTCCTTCTATATATTTGGAGCCCACAATGATGGCGACACTAAAGATTCCTTCTCCAGGCAACACAGAATAGACATGGCGGAAGTCTGTGTCTGCTCTCTCATAGAAAATACCATTTTCTATTTTGATAAGCTGGAGTAGCTTTAACCACCCTGTCCCGCAAGCCAGCCCTAAGAAAGAGGATCTCATACAAGGATATATCTTCAACAAGCAGTAAGCAAATGATCTAGGTGGCAGGGAAAGAGATAAGCCCTAGGAAACCAAGAGTGGGCAAAAGGCATTCTGTTGTTCATCATTATTTGATTTTTTTTTGGTCTGGTATCTTTTTCAAGGCAATCATAATCATAATTTTATGTTAACTGAAACGTAAATTGCTAGATTTGTTTTGATTCAGATATTACCAGATACTTTAACATGGATATCCTTCATTGGTAGCTTGGCTAAAATTAAAATTAAAGTACTGAGGTTTAATACATGTTGCACAGTTGTACTATATTATATATGTTTCGCATAAAGAAAGATGGGGCAGTAATTCATGTTTACCTGTGTCTAATGGTTTTTCTTTCTTGTGGAGTTCTAGACAATAAGGGAAAGAGCCGAACATTATTTCTTTCATCTTCATAGAGATGTGTTAACTTATAACATTTTTTCAAATGGAAAGTTGTAATTTTCTAGATATATTTTTACATAGGACTTACCAGTTTTGTTTATATGCACATCTTTCTTTGGCACTTTGGCTAAAAGGAAAAGATTCAGACATTTGGATTATGACATAGATGGAATCCAAATGATCAATTAAAGTTAAGAGTACTGAATTTGAAGTAATGTTGCACAACTGTGCTATATTAATAAGTTTGACCTAAGCAAGGGTGGGGTAGTAATTCATGTTTACCTGTTTCTAATGGCCTTTTTTTCTTGGGGGATTCTAGACAATAAAAAAAGAAGAAAACATTATTTCTGTATTTGGGTGCTTCTAAAAACAGTGGATGATTGCCTACTTTACACAGAATTGTCAGGTGCAAGAAATCAGGAAGCCAGGTGGTGCAAATGTCTACATGTCTAACACTTTCTACAAAAATCTGAACTACTAATGGTCAAAGCAAATCGGCAGTAGATAAGAGCCAACAGAATTCAAGGTGGGCTGGATTTAGATATCTTGTGGGTATGAAGGGACTTGAGACTGGTGACATATTTGACCCCTCTCTCATGCTCAGCCTGGTCCTCTCTTACAGAATTAAATGATAGATTGATGTCATTTTAAGACAGTCTTTTAATTTGACTAATAAAACTAAGTTAGGATTGAAGGGACTGTTCTTACTAGATAACTCACACTTGGCAGAAGGCACTTTATGATTTATTCACTGTGGGGTTTTTTTTTTTTCTTGGCAATTTTGTGTCACCCACAAAAGTCAGATTACTGAGATTGTCTCTGTATTGAATCCTGACATAAAGCCCAGATGAAATACGTCTAGATAATCCAGTTCCTAGAGGGTTCTCAGAAGAAACTGGACTACCGTCTGTCAGAAATGGTGTAGGATCTCCTGTTTGGGCAGGGCATTGGACTAGATGGCCGACAAGGTGCCTTCCAACTCTGCTATTCTGTTAATTGCAGTCTGATCACCTTCTCAGCAACCTTCCTGAAAGAGGAAGATTAGAGACAGATCAGTAGTTATATAAAATTGTTGGGTCTTGAACAGAGGGAATACCACTACCACCTTCTGGGCTCTAGGCACTACCTCAAAGAGTCCAGTACAGTGGCAAAGACCTAATTCAGGAGGCTTCAACAAACAAGTAGCCAATGCAACCTATCTATTCCTCAGGACTCACCCAGATCATACTACAAGATTGTACACTAGGCACCCAGATCAGATCAGACCCACCCAGCCAGAATCCAACTCAATGTCAATCTGAGCAATACTATCTGTCAGATATCTAGAATATTCCCCATAACAAACAGTTCAGATGATCCAATGGCCATCCTTGAGGGAATCTAGGAGAGGTTGGGTCTCCATAAGTAGAACCAATGGACAGCTATCAACATTCATAAAATGTACATTTTGCTGCCCTTATCACTACAAGGCAATACCGGCAATACCCCATATTAATCAGGCTTGCATTTCTTTGGTGTACCATCACCTGGGGTTTCTCAATAACCTAAAGTGTGCCTGGTATTGATAAACAGAGACAGGCCACCTAGGGATGTTGTGGTCAAAAGCCTATGCCTCGCAACAACTGAGACCTCACCTAAACCATGCACCAAGATTCACAGTGTAAACCATAAGCTCCTCCAGAACTCCACACAGTTCATCAGTCATCTGGGGAGTGCCAATAGAATAGGCCATCTCTTCCCATGGGGGAGGGCAATGAAGGGAATCAAAACATTTGGTGTTTTATTTATTTTTTAGCAATTAGTCTCTTCTCTAGCCTTTTATTAATGTTCAAAGTGGAAAATGGAATTTTCTAGAATTATTTTTACTTAGGACTTACCAGTTTTGCTTGCATGCATAGCCTTCTTTAACAGTTTGGCTAAAAGGAAAAGATTTAAGAATATTGATTATTATAAATATTGAACATGGATAATATATGTATCCCATCTTTCAAATAACAGAAGTGGAGAAATTAGACCATACCTACCTATATCTATTGGCTTTTCTTTCTTGTCTGCTTCTAGAAAGTAAGAGGAAGATTTGAACATGATTTCTGCATTTATGTGTTCAAAATAATCAATGGATGATTCCATTCTTAACAGAAAAAGTGATAGAGTGAGGACACTTAAATATAGATTTTTTTAAATTTCCCAATTAATCACATTGGACAGAATGCGGTCTCCTATCTACATTTTAAAAATAATTTTATTGCTTTTAAAACAATAACAGAGAAAAGCAAAAGAACAAAAGGATACATACATTATCAAAACAATGCATAAGAAGTGCTTAAAAATAAGTGAAAAAGTACAACAGAAATAATAGGATACAGAGTATAATATGTTGTTAGAACAAGAAACAGATACAGTTCTATATATAATCTAATACAAACATTATTCAGGTATATGTATATTTCTAATACATTTATATGACTTTCATTCTTTTTTTTAAACTATAGTACTTTGTATAAATGAATCTCATATTTTCTTATATAGTATCCACACATATTTTCTTATATTTATCCATTCTATAGGCAATCCACTCATAGGTAGCAACTATAAACAGATCTTCAATCCAGTAAAACCACACATTTATTTTTTCAATGTTGCAATATCAGTTTTTAGCTACAATAAGGGCACAGAGAATCCATATTGTTCAGTTGTGAAATTCCATGTATTAAGAAAATATTATCCTCAAAAAATCTCAGCTTTTGTTGTACAGTCAACATTTATGTAGTCCATTATTTTGTCTCAAAACTTAATGCTTTTAAAGAAGCATTGCCATTACTGAATCCCAACAAAATGCCATCCTACAGAATTCTTTTCTATACAAACACAATGGAGCCCAATAAATTCTAAATATTATTTTTGGTTTTATAAGTCAGAAATTGAGATCTATTGATATTCTTGGTATAGATGTTAAGACACAGTCTCATTATCTAGGCAATACAGGAACCTCTAATTCTTTATTCCACTAATCGTTTACCTTTTGCATATTGAATTGATTTATTGATAATATCTGTTGAAATGAAACATTGGTTTCTTTGTTTTAAAAGATTTAGCTAGTTGTTCTCGTGTCTCAGAAAGTAAAAATGCTGCTGGTTCAAACAATGCTGTTAACAATTATTGTAACTGTAAATATTGCCACTGGGTAACATCTAATATTTGTCTCTTCACATATCATTTGTTAAAATTTGTCATCATCATGTACCAATTGATCAATATTCCCACTTTCATCCATATCAATATTTCCTCCCAGATTTTTAATATAGGATTTCCCCATTAAGACAATTTAGTATGGTTGACAAAAGATTGAATCACCTCCTATCAATGTTTGATATTTTAGTTCAATAGTTCTCTTATGGAACACTCATTTCTGTAGTCTTTGATTAATTTTCAAGGTAGAAAGTTGAATGTCCCAGATTTTTTTCCCCTTAGCCTTACCAGTTTTGTTTGCATACACAGCCTTCTTTGGCAGCTTGGCTGAAATGAAAAGATTTAAATATATTATTATCACATATGTTGAATATTTAGCCTTAACACAACTTTTAGGTAAAGTAAATGTAGAAAATAAGAGCATGTTTACCTATTTCTATTGACTTTTCTTTCTTGTCTGGTTCTAGAAAATAAGAAGAAGGTTTGAACTTGATTTCTGCATTCAGGTATTCAAAATAAACAGTGAATGATTCCATATTTAACAAAGAAGGAAGTAATAAATTGAGGGCACTTAGAGACAGAATGTTTTAAATCCTCAATTAAAATTTAGATAGGAGACTCCTCTCACTAGATAACTCATATATTCATTTTTGTTGATTAAAAAAATAACTTAAAGTTTATATGACCAGAAAATGATTTTTGCATTTAAATGTTCAAAATAAACAGTATATAATTTAATACTTAAATTCTGGATTCAGTTGGCAGAATGCACTTTATTTGTTTTTGTGGTTTTCTTCTTAAGGCTTATGTTATGTCCTGAGGACTCTAGGAGTTCTCACTCAGGTCCATTCACTTTGTTGCACTCATGCTCTGGTTCAGCCTCTCTTTTCCCAAACTTAACAGCTTATATGTCTTCTGACTTGAGAATAAGACTGAGCAGTTTCTACCCCTTCTTCCAGAAATTGGGATTCAATACCAAGATCCAATTTGAGGATATCTCAAAGAAAAGACAAGCAAGCCATGTTGGAGGCAAAGCTATAGGGCTATGTGGATGAGGCCTGGTAATTTATTATGCACATTTGGGGCTTTATTTCACTGGGTAGTCATTTAGAATATGGAATATCCATTTCCATAGTCTTCTATTAATTTACACTAAGTGTTCAAAGGAAACAGTACCATTTCTGAGATACATTTTTACCCCAGTCTTACCAGATTTCTTTATATGCACATGTTTCTTTGGCACTTTGGCTAAAAGAAGAAGATATAAGGAATTCAGTTATTCCACAATTTGAACTTGTATAACCCATATCCATGTCCAATATCATGTTTTACAGTTGTAAAAGAAAGAAAATATTAACATACTAACCTATTTCTATTGGCTTTTCTTTTTTATGTGTTTCTGGGATGTAAGAAGAAGAACACAACATGATTTCTCCATCAGAGTCTATAAGGGTGTGCTTATTTCATATATTACAATACATATCATTAGTGAAATGAGAAACCAAGACCACAGTTAATTAGTCTTGTGATTTCATAATTAAAACAAAGCAGGGATTAAGTGGCTTTTATTTTATTCCTATTGTATATATGCTGCTTATTTTTGTTATTGCTGCATATTCTCTAAATTTAAGTCGCCAATCAGATCTCATTAGAATTGTTTATTTCTTCCAATTCTGTGCAAAATTTATTCTTATTGCCATGAGCATGTATCTATGTAAATTGTGGTTTTGTTCTTCAAAATTTATATTAAATCAGAAAGAGAGTTGCTTGTCAAGGGTAACAAAATGAATAAATTTCTTGATTAATAGAATGTTAATACTATTAATAGACTTCACATATATTATGATACACACAGGAGGATAAATATTTAAATGGGCAAAGTTTGGTAGAAGCATGGAAAATAATAAGCCCATTAGATAAACTTGTTAGTGTGTCCTTTAAATGCCTTTCATGCTGGAGATAATTACAATAAGAAAAATGTAATTATATGTGCAGACATGGTCCATCCAGACTCATTGAATGGATTGAAGAGACAGTAAGAATTATTCAGTGAAGACTATAATATGGATGATTTGGGGGTAGCAAATAGGGGGCTGTAGGGATTAGTCCTAAGTAACTCACAGGAACAAGATGTAGTCTATTTTTCATGTAATTAATACAAAGTATTCAAAATAGAAAGTGTAATTTGGGGAAAAAAAGATACCCAGGTCTTACCAGATTCTTTCACATGTGCAGCCTTCTTTGGCCTGTCTGCTAATATAAAAGAAAAAAAGAATTATGATAATTTTTAATAGCATTCTACATCAATATGTTTCTGGGAAGGCAGAGGTGAGAAAATGGGGTGTAGTTTCCTACTTCTATCAGCTCTTCTTTCTTGTATGGTTCTGGAAAGTCAGAAAAAAACAAGGACATTGTTCCTGCCCTTGAGAGTTTTTAGCAAGCAGTGTAGTATTTCTATACTGAGCAGAAAGTGAAATGATAGACTGAGGTCACTTGTAGACAGTAAGCTCAATTAAGAGTTTGAAAGGGAAGTTAGTTTGTTTTATTACAAGAGAGAAGAAATAAGGATATGTTTTGCTTTTTGGTAAGTTTGCAGTGCTCATAGAGGACCAAGGATGAATCAGAACTTAGCTTTGCAGCAATGACAACTAACTGTTTGTCTGCCAGCAAACAAGAAATTTCTTGTCCAACCCACTCAAGGGTGGGATTCTACCAGTTCTGTCCACCTCTGTAGAACTGGTAGTTCTGAAAAGCAGCAGACAGAGAACATATATAGAACTGGTTCTATGTCTGCTGCTGTCTTGGCCCACCCACCGGTCCGGGCTCTTACTTGACCTTTATTTCTTGCTTTTTCAACCGCAGCTGCTTTGTGCGACACAGCTGCGGTTGAAAAAAGCAGGGAAAAGGGGCTTTCCAACTGCTGTGCACTTGCACGCAGCGCTGCTCAGCTGTCCAGGCAGCTCAGCAGGTCGTAAATTGCACTTGCATGACTCGCGCACGCATGCGATGCCGAGCAACAGAACCAGTAGTTATACCAGTTGGATCCCATCCCTGAACCCACTCACTTGCTTACAAGAACCTCTTCCCCTCCCTCCAGGAAAAATTAAAATTAAAATAAACTAAAAACCTATTGTCATAGAGGCAAATCATCTATAGAGAGATATAAAGGTCCTTCTCCATTAGTTCTATAAAAACAAGTCATGTGCAAAAAAGAAAGCTAATAAATTAGTGTTTATTTGCTTATTTTAAAGATGTATATTGTCACCCATTTTAAGCAACTCTGGGCAGCTCACAACAACCAATTATTATTAAATTAATATGCATGTCTGAATATTCTAAAATGGGAGAAATGACTCCCATTTCAAAAGACCATGTAGGGAGCAAAGTACCATTATAAACTTTCTACAGTTTATCCATATATGGCAAAATCATGCGTTGAATCAATGAGCAATAGACACATGGGGCTATGTATGTTTCTAAGTACTGTAACAACCCCACTATTGATATCTAATATAGATCCAATAATCATTGCGGGTTAAACTTTTCTATTACCTGTTGGTTTCCTTTATTCACTAGGCACATAATTATCATTTCATAATAACTTGGTGTTAGAAATGGGATCAGAAACAGTGATTGGTAAGTAGTTGGGAAAACAAGATCTGGCATCCTGGGAAAAAGTCCCTAGAAATGGCATCGGTGGGTTGCTCAATCCAATTTAATGTTGCATCTGCCCTGTCAAGAAATGGCCTTAGGCTATGAAATTCTTAATGTTATTCTATCAGACTACAGACAGAAAAATATTATTTGCCCATATAAATAATGTCTTAATGCACACCGAAGTTTTGCTAGTATTGCAACACAGCTCAGAATTCAATTCAATATTACATTGGTAATCATATGATTAAGTGTTTGGATTAACATTATAAATATTAATAATATTACGGGGCTGCATGTGATAGAATGCACTAAGCATTTTATTATATTTAATTGTTGCTGCATTAATTAACATCTTGATTTACTCATCAATGACTATCTAAGCCAGGGATGTCAAACTGGCAGCCCATGGGCCGGATGCGTCATGTGCAGCCACGCCCACTGCAGCTCCACGAATGGGAAAAACTTCAAGAAATGTCACGTGATGGCAGCGAGATTGACACCTGTAATCTAAGCATAATTGGATATAATATAACATTACTTCCTGACTTCTATTACCTTCTCTTCACACCATTATTCATGGAGGAAAAAGCTCCCATCTCTTTTCCAGTAGAGGGAGAATGGAGAGGCAAATGGTTTCGAACAGCCATACATCTCTCTTTTAACAAACCTCTGGTGACTAAATAGGATATGTTTTGCCTCATTTCCTGACACAGAAGCATGGGCCGTGGAATCTATATAATTTCCAGTTCACAAATTGAGTATCCAACATCCTCTGAAGCTACTTGAAAAGGCAATGGTGTGTCATAACAGAAGGTGAATAGAGATCACTCATACTGGTGATGGCTCAGGAAGGAAGGGAAGCTGGCAGAACATTCCCCATCTGCTACTCGGGAAATATTTAGAAGATCAACTCCCCAAATCTCAAACAGGTGGTGAGACAGTGATGAGGTATCAAGCCTTCCTTGTAAAAGACCTAGAGCTTGCTATCAATTAACAGCAAGGTAATATGTGAACAGTTTTTCTAAAGCACAGCATTGTCTCTAGAGTAGCTTTGCTAGAAACTGACAGAATAAACATATTTTATGTTATCTTTAAAGAACATTCGTTGTCAAGACTATGAAATCACACATAAAGTCAAAATCTCATCAGCTTTACTTCTATATTAAGGAGTTTTCTCATCAGCTTTCAGATTGCTTCCTGTAGCTAGCTTGCTCCCCCTGCCTGATTCATGCAGAAGTCTCAATATGCATGAATCAATTTTACTATACTCAGTATTGCAGTTGTAAAGTTTGAAACTTGTAATTACAATAGATGATTGTTTCAATTGATTTGTTTATGCGCATAGATACTTCTAAGAAGTAGAATTATAGTAGAAGGAAAGTACTTTGAGGTAAGAATTGAGAAAGCAAGTTTGAGATTATATCTGAGCCGCTACCCCCAAATTTTCAAGTATGTTAGTGATCCAAACATGAATTGGTGCGCCAGCACAATCCTTTCTCCTTGCCCTTTCCTTTTTTAGAAACAACTATATTAGAAATACTATAAAAAGGCATTTAATAGACTGTAATTATTTTCATATAAATAGTAATGTCCAGGGGCTCCAAGATCATCCAGACTGTTTATAGTGTCAACACATACTGAACATTTCTATTGATACATGCATGTGGAATCTTGAGAGTGGAAAGAATTAAAATCTATTTACAGCTAATGTCAAGAAGATTGGAAGCTGCTTCTTTATAATCCTTATTTTCCTTTTCTTCCTTTGTTTTCCTTTTCTGCTTTTTTCTCTATTTACTATTTTTATTTATTATCTTTATTTTCCTTAGTGGGTTTTATTTTGTTAAACATTTCTTCAATAAAAATGATGGTATATATACTATACTACAAAAGTATATTACATATAGTTTCCCCATATCTTTTTACCTATTAATACTGCAAATATACATTCACATACGCTACACAGAAGCATTTTGATCAATGTGCAGATAGACTTTTATTGTTTGTATAGTGCATTTTAATTATTTTAGTTTAAATATACACTATGATTTTAATATTTTTAGTCATCCTGAGAAACTCAGTTTTGAAGGGGGTATGTTTATCCAATTTCAAAGAAAATAAATAAATGGGATTTTAATGATAAAATATACAAATATGTGAAAGATAAAATATAAAAATATGTGAAAGTCAGCCACACTAACTCTGTAGGAATGGCTTCTAAATAAACATTTCTGCAATTGAACTGCAAACATTTTATTGTGCAGAATTTTTATTTCCCCATGGATTTCAATCAAACTTAAATCCAAGTTTCCTCCTACTGCAAGATTTTTTAATGGTCACTCTGATTTGTGAATTCATGCAAGAATTTACCTAAACATTTAATCCTTTCATATTTCAAGCTGTTCAGTCATTCACATATATTACTACATAGTTTCAACAAAAGTTCTGTGTTTTATTAAATATTTTTTTCAGGCAATAAATTATTTTTAGAATAATTCAGCCCCATAAGCATTTTCAGCAATTGTTGCAATATTGACACAATTGTTTAAAAAAAAAAATCAAAATATTTTTCTGATGAATTTACAAGTTTGTTTCAGCAGATGGCAGCATGTAGCTTACTTTTCAGGGAAATAAGCAAAATTGGGCCCGAATATTTCAGGGAACTAGGCAAACTGGGATGTCAAAAAATATCTGGAAAAAAAGTGGGTTTGTTTTTAAGAACTAGCAATTACTTTATAATGTCATTTTTGTTAAGGAAGTCATCATTCTGCAGAGCAATGAATGCACTCTCATGAATGATTTTAATGTTGATATTCTTTACAAAGGAATAATACTATTCAAAATGGCTAAATGAGGATTTATATGTTGTGAAGACTATATTTGAAGTCATCTGAAACGACCGGAGTCACTGTTATCAGAGGAACAATTTATAAAATTATTTCTTTGTGGGACTATTTGAATAATCTGTTGCCTTAGGATAGCAATAGCACTTACCACTTTACAGTGCTTTACAGCCCTCTATAACTGGTTTACAGAGTCAACATATTTGCCCCAACAATCTAGGTTCTCATTTTATCCACCTCGGAAGGATGGAAGGCTGAGTCAACCTTGAGCCTGGTGAGATTTGATAATTATATTGTATCTTCAGCATCTGTTTCCTCCTTTCACTCACTTCATACAGATAAAAAAAGGATAAGATTTTCCATTTAATTGGGGTCATCTATTTGGGGGCCACAGTTCTAGGGCACAGAATCAAACCAACAATTATTGAAGAAAAATATTATCTTCTTTTTACTTTCTGTCACCTCCATTCTCTTCTCTAAAAAAAAGTGGCTAAAGGAGGATGCTGATTTGCAAAAGCCAATTCATGCCTACAGAGTCAACTTTAGAAATAATTTTATCATGGTTAAGTATTCAGAGTAGAAATACCAAATGTTTATTATAATAGAAAATGTGTAACTGGATAACCCATGTTGTTGGGTTTTCCACAAAAACAGGTAAAGGACAGCCATATAACAACTAATTAAATATGGGATGATCTTCTATAAATGGAACAAACCTGCTGTAGGCCAGTAAAAATGTTTTTTTGTCCCGTCCCCCGCAAATAATGCAGGAAGGCTTTCATCTAGGTCTATATTTGCAAATGTGGCCAAGTATTTGACAGAAATGCAGTGAATATCCACGGATCTTGCCTTCCAAAAGCAGCCTTACTTGTGCATGGCTCTTGTTTCAAGAAATTCCACCCTCAACATTTAGATGATGATCATATTCTGTGAGGAAAACCTTTCCTTCCGAGATTTGCAAGGTTCACTCCTCATGACTAAGCCACAGTGCAGTGTAGTGTGCTTAGTTTTGATTTAACACAATGAGTGAATCCAATTATTGTGGCTTGTAAATGATTATGTATGGTTTTGTCAATTGGCAGGACAAGTCAAAACCCATTACATTATTTTTATTTTCACAGAACAAAAGGAGTTCTTATTCATCTGAACCAACAGATGGCGCTCTGGTCCAATGAAATAAAATAATAATAATAATAAAAATAAATACATGCTGCCCAAAAGGGTGATTAAATAATCCTGAAAACAAAGCACGAGAACATAATTGAAATGTTTACCTGGTGTTGCCACTTTTATGGAAACTGGCTGGGGGGATACAGGAGTTTTTGCTGGCTCTTGAAATGAGAACAAATTAAAGCAATCTTAACGAGGCATGCCATAACAAAATAAATAATTTAAAAAGATGGGGAAACAACATAGAAAAAATATTGCCCTTAGTATCCTTTTCATAAGGAAAAAGAGAAGATAATTAAAATAAGTTGTTATTTGGAATTCTATTAAGTCAAAAACGGGGAGAAAGCGTGATTTGAAATCAAGTGATAATAATTAATATTAACAAATGTAGCATCACAATGTAATAGTCATTTCACAAACCACATGCATCATTTTCATAAAAAGGCATAGCTGGAATAACATTCGCCCTGAAAGTAACTAAAGTCTCTATATTTATGCTCTCCTCCTCCAAAATAAAGCAAAACAGGTCATTCTCAAGCTGTATTACAGATCAGTGTCACCAGCTCAGCTTTGATATACATGTACGTATGCAAACAATGAACAATCTGGCTTGTCTTTGATCCATCTTTTATGATAAATGAGTATACCCATCCCCACTTCAGGTCAATGGGACTACATGTGATTAGAGTCGATTCACAGCCTGTCTCTGTGCAAAACATGCCTGTTTGACAAGAAAACAATCAGACGCTCTTTCTGTAATGCCAAAGATAAGTGCTACTCAGAAGAGAATATTGAACTATGATCGTTTATGTCAGGGACATGATGGATTGCAGCATCCATTTTCCTAGGATGGAAGATGCCATGGCGAAGGATCAGAATTGTCCATCAAAGCTGTACGTTTCAGCACCTGCTACCCAAACTGAACAATTGAAATCAGCAGCAAGAAGCAGCAATTATATTTGTATTTTATCTTTCCTGTGATGACCTTTTGCTCTGGGGGTTCTCAAGTGTTCATTTTTATTTATTTTTTGCTTTTGATGATCCATGATTCTTCCTGATGCTGAAATGAGAAACATTGTGATACTGAGTTGTATTTAGTTTTTAGTAGTGCTATAGAAGCCCAGGGAGAATAACTTTACTGCAACATGCTGGAAAAATTCTGAAACAAGTAGTCCTTTCAGATGTGTTTGTCCTTTTTCTTTCTTCTGTAAGTACCTGGGTACCTTCTGCAATTCAGCAGAAGAATACATTTGTTTAGGGACTGTTCAACATTACAGTGGCACTGAAAAAAAGTTACTTATGACCAGTCGTCACACTTGTTGTTGCATCATCTCAATAGCCATGTGATAATAATTTGGACACTTGGCAATTGGCATGTATTTATGGCTGTCCAGCATCTTGGGACCGTGGGATCACTATTTGTGACCTTCCCAGTTGGCTTCCCACAAACAAAGCCAATGATGGAAGCCGGATTTGCTTAATGACTGTGATTCACTTAACAACCATGGCAAAAAAACGAGGTACCTTATTTAGCAATGGAAATTATGACCCAATTGTAGTCATAGGTCCAAGGACTTCCTACACACAGCTGAAAGCTAAAATGGGACAATTTTAGGCCATATTTTACCTGGTTAAATAATGCAGGATTCTTTGTTTCCTGCATCACTTTCCCAGAAACAGAAACACAAATGCTGCCAGGCTTGATGAGTTGTATTTTTCATGCCAGGGACTTGTTTTCATTATTCAAGGACTAAGAGTCTTCAGACCTTATTATATAGGAACCAGATAAATGAACTCTTCTATCCAGCTCATGGCCACTATGAAATACTCAGCTCAGATCACAGTTGACATTTCAATCCCTATCTGCTTTTTCAAGATGTAATTTTTTTTTAAAGAAAATGGAGAAGGGAAGAAATAACTGTCAGTCACAAATGGGAATGGGGAACTGAAAATGCAGTGTGAATTGATTCAGAATAGAAGAAACTGCTATGTCTAAACATGTCATTTTAAAATTATAAATGGTGTCACTCTTTCCATATTTGCATTTTCATACAATTTTACAGCACAATTCTCTGCAGTTCTATCCAGATGTAAATCCTGTTGAGGAGAAGACACCTTTTACCAAAAAGGAAAACGAATGTATAAAATGATATACTTCAATACGCATAATTGGATGTATCAAAGCAAACACTAATAACAGTGAAATAAAACAAACAATGGTAAGAGCATAATTATAAAAATAAGACTCACTTTTTAGGTCTTTCATGGAAACGGCTTCTTTTGTATCTGTAAGAATATATTATAATAAGTGTACTGTTACTTATTAGTCGACAGCACTGCTAAAGGCTTTCACATATGTACCTCAAGCCAACCATTTATTTCATCATCACAAAAGATAAAAATGTATTTCTCCAGGGAGCTGCATCTTAAGCTTTCTAAACGACGGGTGTTTCAATGTTAGCATCTAATTTGAATGCTGAAATGCAACCCTGGGATATGAAATAATTTATTCATTTATTTATCCTGTCTTTATTATTTTTATACATAACTCAAGGCATCAGATATACCTAATACTCCCTCTTCCTCATATTGTGCTCTTGTTGTCCTGTGAGTTGGGTTGTGCTGAGGTAGATGTACTGGCCTAAAGTCACCTAGCCAGCTTTCATGCCTAGAACTCAGAGTCTTCTGATGACCTAACCACTAGACTGAACTGACTCGCAATAAAAACTTTACTTTGAAATATTTGCCCTTCTGGGGTAACTAGAATAAAAAGCACTGAGAGCTATTTCAGACAAAATGCCTTCTTAGCAGTTTTCAAGGCCAGCTTCCATTTAGATATGTATTTTCCCAGTAAAACTGTTTCCTTTTACTTATATGAAGATTATCTCTTTGGGACCACCTACACTGATTTCTGCTCTTTAGGACTCATGTGCCATTTTTGTAAGAACCTTTTCTTTCATCTGAGGTAATAAAAAAACCTAGCAGTTTACAGAAGAAACTCATGCATTATTGGGTATATGTAGCTCTGAAAAAAAACATTTGTGTGTTAATCTTTCGCCTCTATCAGCCTGTTTCCAGGAATTGCTTCAAACCCTGCTAATTACCACACTGAGATGAAATTAACCATAAAGCTGTTTTCGGTCAGGGAGGTCTATTGAAGCATTCATAAATGCTTTATGGTTGCCAGATATGGTAATTTTAAAAAGTGTCGCTTGTAGTTGATATGAATCATTTATCACAATTATCTGCTATTACTGGAAGCTATAAAACCCGAACTCACCGGCAACATTATGTTCAACAACAGATGTGATCTACAACATGCTCTATAACAAAAGTTCTGATACACTGGGATAATTCTTTATGTTTTAGATAAGAATGTTCTTTTACTCAAATAACTTTCTCACAGAGAGGAGATTCATCCAATTTTGTTTTTCAAGGGTAGCTTGTTTTTCAAACATTCCAATGTTTAAGGATTATCAAATGAGGAATTGATTCATATGTATTCATTTTCACCTAGTAATATATAAAAAAGGTTAAAACAAGAAACAAATCTCTGCTGAAGATTTGTTTTTCTCCTTTTTCCTTTTACTATTCATTCATAGTTACTCCTTGAATAAAGAACTATGTGATTTTATTCAATATGCACAGGAATTGTTGTGTATATTGAATAAAAACCTAATCACATAGTTCTTTATTCAATATGCACAGCAATTCCTCCACCAGTTTTCTGCTAAGGTCCCTAATGAAATACACGAGGAAATCTCAAAATGTGGGACATGACTCCATTAACATACTTCAGGCAAAATCTGGAGTGACTCTGATACTGCTTCCACTATGCACAGACAATCTTTGCAATCACAAAGCTGGAGCATTGTCAAACCACAGCAACTTTGCCCAGGGAAAATCGGGGTCCAGAGCAGGTTTTTAGATTGTTCTCAGTTTCCTTACGCAAGCACGCAATCTTCTCCATTATGGATAATGATAAAAGTATTACTCCCTATATTGAACATCACTGATTAACATAATGCACAGAAACAGCACAAACGATACTGAACCAGTTTTGAAAACCCCTCTGGGATTCAGAGCACTGTTTGTAAATAATTGCAGGAATGAATTTTTACATATGCAAGGCATAAGTTGCTTTTTTTAAAAAGAAAGGCTATGTTTTCAGGACTATAGATGGTCATTACAGAGAACAAGGTGATTTTTTAAAATAAAGAACTAAATCTACCAAATGGAACATATGTGGTAATAAACAAAAGCCAGCTACCAACAAAAAATAAGAACAGTTGGGGATTTTTATCAGCAAACAAGGTAGATATGTCTTAGGGACCTTAAATATGGAGTCAATGTTGATAAAATGTGACAATCTTGAGGAAAAAAAAGGTTGACAGCAGCTGAACAAATAGATCTCTCCATACTTATGTAAGGGACCTATCATCAATGATAGATGTGATTCTGATGACCAGCTGTTTCTAGTATAGGCCAATCTTCCCAACCTCCACAACTAGGAATTTCAAAACCCATAGTCTCAATAAATCTGGGCTGGAGTGTCTGGTCATCTAGATAATCAGGCATGCTAGAATTCAAAAATCATTACATAACATATTTCAATAGATGGGCAGAAGGGATAGAGGAATTCAAAACATTTTACCATTACGTGAATCTATATTTGAGACATATCATATAATCTATATAAGTTTACTTGATTTAAGATTGATTTCATGGAAGGATAGTTTGCTCAGAAGAATGCTTGCTCAAAAAAAAAAAAAGAGTGTCAGTGCATTCAGAGGATATATTTGATAATGAGCAATTGCTTTATTTTAGTTGAGAACTCACCTAGTAATGTAAGCTAACCAAGGTATTTCCAATTCTCTATTCAACATCTAAAGACCAGGGTTTCTTATTTACATAGATGTAGAAAACTAACATAAGCACATAGATGTTGGGGCTTCCAAGACACTAAATAAGCAGAAGGTTTCTAGATACAGTATGTCAGCCTTATGTGTAAAATCATTTCCTGCACTTTTGACACATTAATGGGGGGCTTTTAAAGCAATACATCATGTATGGATGGTACTTAATTTACTGCCCCCAGCAAATTGTTCCAATGTGTTAAAATAAAAGCTGCAGCAGGTGGCATAAGCTCTCTGAAAAAACAGCTTTTCGTTGGAGTATTTTAAGCAATGAGGGACAATTTTTAGTACAGCCTGGTCTCAAAAAGTATGGGCATCAGATGTCAAGTATTAGGTAACTATGCTTTATCCCTACTCAAGGAACTAATAGCCTGGTAATTATCTAACCAAAGCCAAGAATGAATTAAAATTAAATCCATTCTAACATATTTTCAAAGCACCTCTGATTGCTACAAATCAAAATTCACACACCAAGAGTGTTTGGGATCCTGTGAAACAGCCATTTCAAACTGGAACCAACCAGATGTATTGAATTATAATGATCATGAAGCCAATTTTCATCAGTAGGTGGAGGAATTGAAGGAAAGATAAGATACAGTAGGATTCTGAGCGTGTATCTGTTTAGACTGATATTAGTAGAATTAAAACTAGACATTTAAAGTGACATTTAATCAGTCATCCTTTATTAAAGGCTTCTAAACATGAAAGGTTCTATAGTTCCCCAAGCAAGCACATCAAACCATACTCTCCATGAATGATGGAACTGGTAGTCAAAATGTGCTAGAGTCAGCTTTTCTCATTCACCATTATAGCACCAGCAGATAAAAGGGAGCTTATTGCAAGTCCTTGAAAAAAGAAAGAAAGAAAGAAAGAAAGAAAGAAAGAAAGAAAGAAAGAAACTATATAGCACACCCTGCCATATATCAAAAACATTTCAGAAGCAGTAGAACACAGCATCCGAGATCTGAAAGTGGGTATCACCCACCACCCAGAGGCTACCACAGGAGATCAAATTATGCAGCACAAAGATTGGTTGGAAGTGGGAGAAATGTATTGGATTCCCTGCATGGATTGCCCTTGTGATTATGTAGGACAGATCAGGAGGAAGTTAACCACCAAATTAAAAAACATGAACAAGCTGTTAGAAGAGGAGACCCAAACTTATTGGTAGCCTGCCATGAACAAGGACATGCATTCAATTTTGCAGCTACTAAGATTGTTGACCGAGCATGGATAAAAAGAGCCAGAGAAATAATTGAAGCCTGGGAAACCGTACCCTTGCCATTTACTAACAGATTACCCGGTACTTAGGAGCTGAGGGCATAGCAACACAAGGAATCAACAATCTATGACTTAATAGCCAGCCATCAACACCCCAATGAACAATTCAAAGTCACACACAACCAGACACCACATAAATAGTATGCACAGAACAGAACTCAATCCTGGTGATTGAGAAGTTCCCTGAGGATGGGCTCAACCCTAGAAGAACAAACCTCTAGTCCCAGTGACCAACTCAGGTTGGATCTGGCAGTAAAGCTATTCTTATTATATATGCCTCATTCTGAGACACATCTGTTGGAGAATTTGTAGTATTGGTGTTAGCACCATTTAAGTACTCTTGTATTTACCCTTTCACTTAGTTGTCACACAGATCCATGCACACACACTAAGAGGAAGCTTTCCATAGCTTCTGGGTATATTAGTAAAGTTGTGCACAATCTTCAAAAGTGATGCTTTCTAATACGCAGGTGATGTATACAAAGCACTTTTCTTTGTATCAACAAAGCACTAGCATCTGTTTTCAGGCTTCATAATTTATTCTTAGCTGACGCAATACATGTGTGCATTAACAGTCACTTTGCTTCATTTTTCTCCTGCATAAGAAATAGCACACAAGCTTGAAAAAAACCTGTTCTCCTTTCCCTGTACGTCTGGTTCTCTTTTGTGTGAAGGCTGAAGTTTTAGAAGTGACAAGTTTTGTCACTGCTCCTCTCACATATCCATTGTATAATATTACTTTTACAATACAGCAGTGACTTAAAACCTGAATTACAACTTGTGTATCTGCTACTGTGGGTACTAGCAAACCACATTTTTTATCCAAACAACACAGACTTTTATTTAAATATATTCAAAATATTGAGACCCACTCCTATCCCAGACACTGACCATATCCCAGACACTGACCATATCCCATCCTAGCCTTAAGCTGTGATGTTAATCCTGTCCCTTTATTTTCTATAATATAAAATGCCACCAGCTGCAAAACATTGAGGTCACCAGGCAGTAAGGACAATTAGTCTCATGAATAATTGTCATCATGAAGAACTGTGGCTCACTAAATGTCCTTCTCATGGAAAATGTTTT